ACAAGACCGGTGAGCGATTTATCGGACACAGAGCAACTTAACGACTCCCTTTGACGGGACGTGTCGCGTATAGAATTGGCGTTCGGCCAATTCATGAGTAATCCACGTTTCCCATGAGCACCCGCGCAACAAACAAAATAAAGGCACCCACGTCGCAGACGTTCCTTTCTCGCTCACCGCGGTCACGGTGGCTCGTTTAAATATTTCAAAGCGACCGTGGCGTGTCGGACTCGTTCCCGATGTTGCTCTTTCGCGTCTCCCTTCGCGACCCTCGCAAAACCTTTTCAACGTCGATTGATTCTGCAACGGCGTACACCACGCGACTGGCCTACATACGATTTAACGCCATGGAGTTACGTTTCACCCCTTTTCAGAGAAAATTCATTTATCTTGGTCCTCCACTACCCGGAGTGACTCTGAAGTCGCACACTCGTTATCTACCGCTTTTGAAGTCTGATTCGAGGATCCGTTACCACGCGTCACGCACGAGGGACAATGACGTTCGTTTATTTTCGTGCTGAACGCGAAGATAGGTATTTATCTTCGTATCGAACAAACGTTTAAAACAATTTTTGATCTGCAAATAGTCGGAACATGATTAGCGAATGTAAAACTATTTCCTTACGTAAAATAATGTGTTCGAAATATCTGTCGATCGCAGTAGTTTCATTGCTTGTGTTGGTCGGAAAGTAAAAGTGCTCTAGCATTCAGGTTAGAAGATCTAGGTGCGATCTAATCGTGTACCGTCTGCTTCGATCGCGTAAATGGCCTCGACGGGCGCGTTAAGCGTCGTAATTTGTTGATCCGTTCAGTCAACGTAGAGTTTCTCACGCCGTTCGTCGGTCGTTGATCCATTTAGTCGGAGACTCAGCCTCTCGCGGTCGTCTGTTTTTTCCGCGGCCCGTTCCCCCCGAAGATCGCGGTTTGAATGGATGTTTCTGCATGTACGTGCACATTAACGGTCTCGTTTTGGCGGGAAGCCAGCCCGATTCGACGGTTGCATCCGCGAGGCGACGCCGCGCACGTGCGCCATCCGTTCTGCCTAAAAAAAAACAAAAGAGGGAAGGGTGGGGGGGGGGGCGTGTCTCGTCACCCCCGCAAGATCGTCTCTCGTTGTATGTACACTGTGTGCCAAAAATTTGGAACCACCCGTCCTAACCACGAACGAGGTATTTCATGGCCTTTAAGCAATTAAAATAATCAAACATAATTGAACATCTATTTTTTCGAACTTGATTTTATATCTATAACGGGATATGATTTTTTGATTTTGTAATATTTTCAAAATTATGGTTTTGATCGTCAAGGGATAGATTCAGGATAGATTCTAGAGGTCACAATAGGACGAAAATCAAGAATACTAATTTGTTGATGGAGGCTTCGTTAAAAAGTTATTAACATTTAAAATTCCGCCCGTACTGAATTTTTTTCTCGAAAATGCGCAGGATTTCGAGGGTATGTCTAATCACCAAAAATGATTGTAATTAACCCCCGCAACTGAAAATAATTTTTTTAGAACGATTTGAAATTTTTTTTTTCGTCGAAAATTTAGGCACTTTCTCGAATTTTTGTCTTGAAAATGCGCAGGATTTCGGGGGTACGTGTAATGACCAAAAATGATTATAATCGACCCCCGCAACTAAATATAATTTTTTTAGAACGATATGAAATCTTTCAATTTTGACGAAAATTTGTCCATCTTCCTGAATTTTTTTCTCGAAAGTGGGTAGGATTTCGGGGGTATGTCTATTCACCAAAAATGATTGTAATTAACCCCCGCAACCGAAAATAATTTTTCCAGAACGATTTGAAATTTTTGAATTTAATTGTTAATAACTTTTTAACGAAGCCTTCATCAACAAATTGATATTCTTGATTTTCGTCTTATTTTTGCCTCTAGAATCTCCCATTACAATTTTTCCCATGTGTGGCCGAACACCCTGTATAGCAACTGAGGTCGAGCGCTTGTGAGAGCGCGACCCCTCTGGTGGCGAATATGGGAGGCAACGCCACACGATTTTAAAATTTTGGTAGTTTATCCTATTAGCTCTCTATTAATGGGTCAGTATAATGTCGTTACGGGATTTTGGTAGATATTATCAAGTGATTCTATACTTTTGACCGTTAATGTACATCGCGTGCAGGTTCAATGAGAAACTGGCCCGATATTTTGCTACCTGGATGCTCGCAATCTTCGTCAATTACAAACTTGATGCACGTGAAGCATGTTAACGGACGCGACAGGTGTAAGGTAATTACGCCTAATTCCGACGCTGGCCCAATTATCGTCACGTTTCCATTATTTGTATCAGAGTTCTAATTTCATGCGATATCCTGTTAACGCTTCGACATCCACGATTAATTTTCTTTCGTTTAAATTATAGGTGACTAGTGTACGTATTATAATCAATTTTAATAAAAAATAAATATTCGAAAATCCTATATGTAGAACGTGATTTTGATTTCAATTTATATCTAATTATTAACGTATACCGAGGATGAGAGCGTTATATGGATTGGTTAATTTAAGCAGGAGCTGGCTGCAGGAGAAAAGTAGTATCGGATTTCAAGTCGGAGGTGTATACTTTCGAGAAAATCCGAACAGAAGCGCGACGTTGTCTCGTAGATCAGAACAGACGGGATTCAATTATTCCTGCGCCGGGCTATTTCTGGTTTCGCATCAGTTTTGCTTCCAGGCATGCGCTCCTGGAGACAGAAGACGAATCGATAAATCTTAAGATACGGTTCAAAAGTCGCCAGACGTATCCGATCGAACGATGAACCCCACCATCCGGGTCGTTGTCTTTGAATTAAACGCAAACAAGGTGGTTGCCAAGTCTCCTACTTTCGATCTTTCGAATCCGTATGCCTCAACAAGTGTCGAACGATGGCTGAAAAATATTTCTATGCAAACGAACGCTCGCACGATCGATTTTTAATATTACCAGAAACAATTATTTTTGCTTATTAACGATCGATCAAAGTTAAGAGACTAATGGCCCGAGAAGCTACTTAAATAAAAGTGGAAATCGAACGTCTAAATTCGAACCTAACCTAAAAATTGCCCGGCAGATATTGAAATTCAATCGTGCTGGTCCACGTTGTTTATATTCAGGAGCTTGAATAAACATCGAAGTATGATTGCAACCGAAGTATCCCTAGGGACCGACGACCGATAAATAGAATTATCCCGACGAGATTCTCAAAATGATTCTCAGAAGTTTTCGGAACTTTCAACCTTATGATGCCCAGAATTTTCTCAGATATAGATCCGACCGATTTCATGGAAATTTTATTCAAATCAGCGCTTCGTTTCGCAGAGATTCCCCTCGCGAAACAGTGTATCGGGTGATGCTGCGCGTAGGGTGGCAGCAAAATCTCTCAGCCTGTCCGGCGAAGCAGCTTGCCTCACGGGGTGGCGTGTTTGCACACGAAGTCCGCAGGACCTCAACGAATTCTGCCATTGGCCACGAGCCAACGTGACTCATCGCCTCTAGGAAAGGCCGCGCTCGGAGAGTTTACGTGCATCGGTTTCGTTCAGTTCGGTTCGATCTCCGGCAACGTGCGCACCGCCCTCTGCGTCTCCGCCCCACCGAGAACAAGGGAAAATCGAGGCTCTGGGAGTGTCCTCGTGAATCGTGGTCGCGGAAGAGCCCTCAAGAGAGAGAGGAGGACCTGCCGACGCGAAGGGCTTAAAGAGATCCTCGGGCCTATACTCGTCGTGCTATCATGGCCACTCGTAACCTTGGTAAGCCTCGAACCACGATGACACACTGCACCCGCGAACGGTTCGTCGTGTGAGTGAAAATAAACGGTGGACGTTCGGCGAGATCAGAGGTTACCTCTTCGAGGGGGGAAGGGGGGGATTGTGCACGTGGCTGGACGTCGATTCCCAACTTACGGCGAAATAGTGGGCGATACAGGGATTTAGCAACCGGCGGTCGATCGTTAGAATCATGGAGACTCGAGGACTTTGTCGATCGACGAAACTGTCCCAGTTCGAGATCGATCGATTCGCTAACAAAACTGTATTAAATACAGTTGTCCCACGGTGCGTAGTATGGAGGCAAACAAAGGGGCGTCGAGCGTTCATCGGAGGTAGTTTCGGAAAAACGGTTCGATCGTTTGGAGCGCGTGGGACCGACAATGAACGTGAAAATCCGCGTACGGTGCGCGATCGATATAACACGCGGCGATGAGAGCACATGCACACCGCCGGGGCGTCGGGAGGAAAACACTCGGCCAAGAGGATTTCCCCGCTGGCGTATTGATTTTCTCGATACCGTTTCTCCCCTTTTGGCAGTGGACGCTCTCGGCGTGCGGGCGCTTACGTACGCGGAACGCGATATCGATTTTTGACAGCTGCTGCGAAACGACCACCGCCGGCGTGTGTCGTGTCAGAAAAAAGGGGTGCACGAGGTCCGCACGCAACGTTGAACCGACAACGACCGCTGGTCTGTCCCCGTCTCGCTCGGTCGCGTCGCCGTGCGCTGTTTACTCGACGATCCCACGCCTGGAGCCACGCGTCTCCGACTGCCATGCTCCTTCGATCGAAACGTCGCACGCTCACGTGACCCCCGAGAGTGCCCCGACCGAAATTCGTGGTACGTGTTGCGCGAAACTCCCTTCTTCCTTGGAAAAGCTACGCCGAGAAGCCTTTCCCACGAGCGAAAATAACAACCCGGGGGGAGAGGGGGTTTCGATGAGTTTAGGAACAGGAGGAACGATGGTCCGCCAAAACTGTCTTGGACCACGGTAATCGCAGTTTCCATCGACGTTTCCTGTACCTCGCGAGACCGAGGAGCGATCACGACGTCTATTCAGATTCACGCTTCTGTTTTTCACAGGGCGGTTGGGAGGGGGGGTGGAGAGACAATGTCTGCGGCTTGAACAGTAGAATCTGTCCTCAACGATCGTGTCGACAGTGTCGTCGAGAGAATCGGACCGTCGATACTGGGTAGTTACGTCGTTAGTAACGAGGTGCGTTTGATGTCCCGCAGGTACGGATGATGGAGGAGCGGCTAGTGAAGGGTGAATACTGCCTGAGCACTTCCGGCGTTGGTTCTCCACCGCACTCGCTGCCGTCTACCTCCGGTACGCAGAATGACAAGATCGAGGACGTCCACTGTGCCTGCATCTCGAAGCTAGAGACACAGGTCGAGGAACAGGTGAGGGATTTCATTGTGCAACCGATTTCCTAACCCCCCTGAACCGGAAAGGCGTGTTTCTAGCCGCATCTCTGAATCAGTTCGAGATAAGAATAAAATTAAACGACATTCCGTAATTTTTTATTGGACCATATTCGATGCAGTTTTAAAAGTATCGAGGTACTTGCAGCAATGCTTGGATAACTGCGAGTCATTTTCGATCGGATAAGTGAACGATACATCCCTACTATTGAGAGGGGACTCCCCTTCACGCATCAAAGAAACTCAACATCGAGCGGACCGGATAGTGTAACCTGATCTGGGCTCGAATATCGGTGAGACAAAGATGAAACTTTTTATTTCTGATTTTTTTTTTTTCTAACGAAACTTTTACCAATGTGTTCGCGAGCGTTCTCCGATTAAAATAAGACCAGACACGATATAATTTGTTTTTAACCTACTTCCGATAAGAGTGTAAGATCGTGTTAAATACGCAAATATCGTGTTTGGTCTCGTTTCAATCAGAAAAACTTGACGAACATATTGGTAAATGCACCATTGGCAAAAATTAAAAAATAAATAAGTTTCACATTGCGTTGTTCTTATTTCACGTTCGGCAAGGTACAAGGCCAAACGCCGTGGCTCGGGTTGCGCCTTTCTGGGAACTGGAATGCTTTTATAACTGCGGAGACATCGGTCTCGTGTTTCTCGCAGCTGTCCAAGATTTGCTGTATCCATTTCAACCAATCGTATCACCAAAAATATGACAACGTTACACCTTCGTGTACATTACATTGATCTAAGTGAACACACGTTGCTGGCAAACGATAGGAGTTCTGTGTAACGTCAAGTATGGAGTCTGAAACCTGTCGAATCGAGTAAAAGTCGCTGAGGCGCTTCGAGTCGATTCGTTGACAGAGTTCATACATATACAGGGGATTCTAGAGGCCAACATAAGAGGAAAATCAAGAATACTAATTTGTTGATGGAGTCTTCGTTAAAAAGTTATTAACGTTTAAAGTTCCGCCCGTAATGATTTTTTTTCTCGAAAATGCGCAGGATTTCGAGGTTATGTCTATTCACCAAAAATGATTGTAATTGACCCCCGCAACCGAAAATAATTTTTCCAGAACGATTTGAAATTTTTTTCCCCCGTCGAAAAATTTCACACCTTCTCGAATTTTTTTCTAGAAAGTGAGTAGAAATTCGGGGGTATGTCTATTCACCAAAAATGATTGTAATTGACCCCCGCAATCGAATGAATTTTTCCAGAATGATTTGAAATTTTTTAATTTTTTCAAAATATTCACACCTTCTCGAATTTTTTTCTAGAAAGTGGGTAGAATTTCGGGGGTATGTCTATTCACCAAAAATGTTTGTACTTGACCCCTGCAACTAAATATAATTTTTTTAATATGATCTGAATTTTTTAATTTTGTCAAAAAATTTCACACTTCGAATTTTTTTCTAGAAAGTGGGTAGGATTTCGAGGGTATATCTATTGACAAAAAATGCTTGTACTTGACCCCTGCAACTAAATATAATTTTTTTAGCATGATTTGAAATTTTTTAATTTCGTCTAAAAATTTCAGTATCTCCTCGAATTTTTTTCTGCAGAATGGGTAGGATTTCAGGGGTATGTGTAATCACCAAAAATGATTGTAATTGACCCCCGCAACTGAAAAGAATTTTTTCCAGAATGATTTGAAATTTTTTAATAACTTTTTAACGAAGCCTCAGTCAAGAAAGTGATATCCTTGATTTTCGTTTTATTTTGGTCTCTAGAATCTCCCATTAAAATTTATCCCGAACGCCCTGTATATCTCGAGTTTTGAGTCATCGGGTTTCCCGAGCCGCCGAGAATACTCTCGCGGTGAACGATCCAACGTTTCGCAAGCGATTTAGCGGAACCGTTGTTTCAGCAGGCGATAACAAGCCGCGATAACGTTGGGATCGCGGACGGGTATCGAGATAACCGACTCACCGGCGATTACCGATTGCTTGCAGAGACAGTTGCGGCTCCAGGACGCCAGGCAGGTTGAGGCGAAAGCCGCGAGAATAAAGGAATGGGTGACTAATAAGCTGAGGGAATTGGAGCAGCAGAACCAGCACCTGCGGGAACAGAATAACAAGTGTAACCAGCAATTGGAACTCCTGAGGAATCATATAACCAACATCGGCCTGAAACCACCTGTGAGTCCCCGCGGGCGAATTCGTCCGACAGCTGACGCGTCTTTTCCAGCCAGATCCCCGGAACAGTGTCAGAGAACCACGAAGGATCGCGACCGTTTAATCGTATATATTCAAATTGCTCTATCAGCGAGCATGCTGCTTAATAAATGTTCTACGAGTGGTGTGTAACAATGTTCACTTTTACGAGACTCTTGGGGGATAGGTTCTTAGGTTGTTGCTCAAGTTCTGCCCATTAACGTTTCCTTCCAGCAGGTCCGCGCGCAATTTAGCTATTTCTACTTGCACCCTAAGTTTTGTAAGCAATAACTTATAAAAAATTATGTCTTGTTGTTATTCCGTTAACTGTAAAACTGGCCCTACGATTTTATTTATATCCATCATTTAGTAGGCATAGAAGCAAAATTAATGAGCTACCATAACTTTCAGGGATGACTTCCAAGGGACCTTGAATATAAAAATTTCTGTTGACGTTTTAGCAATGCAAGTTTTTATACTCTATACAAAATCAACGAGCTGTTATAACATGATCTACAATATAAACATTTATGTTGCTAGAACGTCAATCTAGATTGTTAGGCTCTTGGTCATTTATAGGTCATCGTTAAACGACTCGTTGATTTTGCGTTAAAGTCTGCTAAATTATGGATAAAGGAAATTACAGGGTTGCGCGAAAAAATTATTATCGCTTCTGAACCGTGTCGTCCTTCATAAAAAAACATTGTAATTGGACCATTAACAACAAAATAAGAGGGGTTAATAAGTTATGTGCTCCAACATGTATATGTTCATCCTATACATACTGTCTGTAGAGTATAAAGGTCAACTGAAAATATACTGCTTAAAATAATCGGGGAACTCCATGTTTCAAGAGCGAATTATTTATTGGGAATAGCAGAAATACTGTGTCACCAGTTTGTATAGGATGCTTGTACCTAAATAGCTCTTTCATTCGTTTTCACCTGCAGATACGTTGCTCGAGATAATTCAAGGCATATGTGTTAATGATAATATTTTGTACGATTCTATTTCAGTTCGCCAATAGACAGAACTTCTGCAACAACATATATACATGAGTATAGCCGGTGAAAGATTAAATCATCATTTTTTATTCGCTGGAACATTGCTGAAACCTTCTACGTTCCGTCAAATCCTTCAGTCTGGTTCTCTGTCAACTGTGTGATCATTTCATAACTCTTCAGGTGTATTTGATAGATTGCATAGAAATGTTGCACAGTGAAATACAAAAAGAATTATGTAAGTGATCGACTACTGGCAAGGTAATTTTAGATCATTATGTACGTTCCACCGACTATACCATCTATGTAGGGTCTTATCCTAAAATCAAGGAGGTTAGAGGCTTCTAGCCTGGGTACTCCCGAGCGCTACGACCTTGAACTGCCACTCGCATACTGTTTATCGACTATCGATGCAAACTGGACCCGTATAACTCACTGTCTCTGCATTTCAGGCACCAACGAGAGCGTCGTTGTCCCTGGAGGTGGACCCCACGTTGCGCAGACGGTCGGAGAGCCTAGAGGGAACACCGCAAACGGTGCCAGAAAGCGTGCAGAGCGCCGCGGCGGAGCCTCAAGCCGGCACCAAACACCGTAGACACCTGTCCGCTTGCGGGTCCATACAGCGAGGGATCGCCGCCACCAACATGGACTCAAGGTAGAATACTTGCGTGAGGGAAACGTTCTGTGAGCTTCGCGGCGCGTCCACTAGCTTTGTTGCAATCGCTTCCGCGCTTCTGCCCACTTTAAACAGCCTCTAAAACGTCGTGTAATTGTATTTCGATTCTCCTTGGGAGGTCTCACGACGTGATAGCGGCGCCCGACTCTCGAAACTGTGGTACCCTGTCGCGTCCGGAGACTTCCTGCGGGGATCTGTCAACCCGTGTGCTCTTCTCTGTTGCTATTTCATCTCGAGCACGATACCTATAGTCGGATCAGAGTCACTCGGTCGCTCGAAGCCACTGATTAACTATCCTTCATCGTTGTTTGATTATCCAATCGCTGTATCTCTTTGCGTCTTCTCAAATAGCAACTTCCAGAAGAGACACGAGTACTATCTTCTGTAGAGTAGCGTGACAAAATAATATAGATTATTTTAATTTATTTATTGCCCTTTGCGGATAAGAAGTAATATTCTTGGTTTGTGAGACAAAGTCAAAATCAACGCCAAAGAGCAAGTGGCCTTGAGCAGTCAGTTGATCTTGATCCGAGTATAGTCCCTTTTGTCTTCTTTTGAACTAGTTTCTTTGGTTCTCGCTGGCGCTAAACGGTCAACACGAAGCTCTCTTGCTAATTGCGTACCAAATCTAAAAGCGTCTGCTGGATGAAATTAGTTTCGTGTTTTATGCTTGCCGTTCTTTTTCTGCTCTAGCTTGCTGTCCGAGGAGCTGGCCGCGGCGGTGGAGAATCTGGTGATGCTGCCGAATATACCTGGCGTCTCGGAGGCCAGTAGGGACAGTGGCAGCTCCGAGGCTGTTCACGACTACGCCGAGATATACACGCCCAGCAGAGAGGGGATGAATTGGACTCAGAGTGCTCAAGGTCCTCGACCACCTACTCCGCCTCTTCACCGGTTCCCCAGCTGGGAAGCGAAGATATATCAGGTAGAGATCGACTTACCTTGCGCTAGACAATAGCGTTGAAGCGAGAAGAATTAAGAATTACGTTGCGTCGAGGTTTAACAAAATGCAAGGTCATGCTTCCGTCGTTCGTGGCGTGCATGACCGCCAAGTTGTTGCAATTTGTAATCAAAGAAACTCGTGCTCGTCGATTCCGTAGGTAGCTGATGGCGGGCTTGGCATCGGTCCACCGACGAACGAGGAATCCGCGCCTTCCACGATGACCAACACGACTAGCTCGTCGAAACATTCCCAGGCAACAGGACACAACTTGACTGCGCACAATTCCCAAGGCTATTGCGATATTTCGGTTCCAGTGTACGCGACGGTCAAGGGTAGGTAAATTTCTATACCTCGTCCACTCGAAACGGCGTCGTTCTCGCTCAGGAAACTCGTCCAAACTCGATTCGTCTTCAACGATCTTTATGTTCCAGGGCGAGCTAGTCAAATTAGGTCCATGCCGTTCGGCGACAGTTCCGACGACAGCTCGGACGGCGAGGAGCATCCGAATCAAACGGAGACCAACACTAGGATCACCAACAGTTCGTCCGACAACACGGACTCTTCGCTTGGCAGCGGGAGCAGCCCGTCGAAGAGCGTTAAAACCACCAGCAGCCTTAGTCCCGCCAAGAGAAGCTCCAGCGGTTCCCCTAGCAAAAGCGTCAAACGTGGTTAGTGGTATATAATAACGTGCATCGAATACTCGACAACTTGAAGACTAACTAACCTTGCCTTTGCAGATACCTCTTTGGAGTCTGGCCTGTCGGAGGACTATGCGATACCCCCCGACGCGCTCAGCTCAACCTCCCTCGAATCCAGCATGCCTAGTCTGCTAATGCGCGTCTCGGGCGAGAGCCCCAAGAGGCAAGAATCTTTGGAGAAGACTGGCCACCTGGCGAAACTTGGCGGGAAACTGAAAACTTGGCGGAAGAGATGGTTCGTGCTGAAGAACGGGGTGCTCACGTATTGGAAGAGTCAGAACGACGTAAATCGGAAACCTCAGGGCCAAATAGTATTGGACGAAGTGTGCAGGTAATTCTCCAACGATGTACAATTCTTGCTACGCTATGAAGAATGTCATTTTGAGAAACATGATTACTCGACAGGATAAACAGGGCGGAAGGGGCCGCCACGTTCGAGATAGCCACGGGCAAAAAGACGTATTACCTGACGGCGGATTGCATCGCGACGATGGAGGATTGGATAAGGGTGCTGCAAAATGTACAAAGGCGGAACGCGACGAAGCTTCTGCTCAGCAAGGAGGACAACAAGCCGACGATACAGGGATGGTTGACGAAGGTGAAGAACGGGCACGCCAAGAAGTGCTGGTGCGTCCTCATTGGAAAAATGTTCCTTTACTTTAAGTGCCCTAATGATACGGTGAGTCCTCGTCTTCTCGATCTTACGCGACCTACGGATAATCAACGTTACTATGATGCTTCTCTTGACGTTTCAGAATCCTATTGGACAAATAAATATGAGAGACGCGAGAGTAGAAGAGGTCGAGCACGTATCCGACAGCGACAGCGAAGAAAGGGACGCCGAATGCCCTCACGAAAGAACGATCGGCATCTTTCCAACTCATCAAGGTCCTACGTACTTACTGATGCCCCACAAACAGGACAAAGACAGCTGGCTGTACCATTTGACGGTGGTTTCGGGAGGGGGGCCGAGCGCGGGGACTCAGTACGAACAATTGGTGCAAAGATTGATGGAAACCGAAGGTGATCCTAGTTGCGTCCTATGGAGACACCCGTTGTTGCTCCATACGAAAGAAAACATCACTAGTCCACTGACCAGCTTGACCTCCGAAGCCTTGCAGACCGAGGCTATCAAGCTCTTCAAGGTTTTGTCACGCGTCTCTTTTGCCTTTAACGGTTCGCCCGTAACGACGAATGCGAAAAATAGATTAAAGGGACGATATTATTTGCACAGGCTTGTCAGTTGTTCATGTCGGTGGCAGTGGAGCAAGCAGGCATAGACTATCATGTGGTGCTAGCGCAAAATGCGTTGCAACAATGCTTAGACCAGCCTGAACTGCAATCCGAATTCATCTGTGCATTGGTAAAGCAGACAAGTCGTCACACACAACACCGTTTGGGCGTACAGGTAAAAAAGGCCGCCAGACTTGTGTCGCTGGGTACTGCGCGCGTTGTAAGTCCTGCTTATTGTTTAACAAACACTCTGAACCCTGTACCATTTTCACAATTGACGTTAGACGCGCGACTTTAGCTAACGCATTCGCCACGAATAGAGTAGAACCTCCATTATCTGAATTAATAGAATACTTACTTTCCTCGCATTGACTCTTTTCTGCTTTAGACAAAATAACAGAAATGAAAAAATAATTCAAACGAATCCATCTTATTATAAATTCATGGACCTCACATCTCGTTGGCTGCTAGGCCTTACAAGTTTTATTTAACATACCTACGCGAAATTGCATTCCTTCGATACCTAAGCTCTACTTTCAAACGTAGCGATTTATTTTTACGAAAGAATTTTTCAACGCGAAAAAGAATAGTCTACAAATAGCTTTGCTCGAATAATAGAACGTTGAGCATTTGGATAACGGAGGTTCTATCGTGCTTGCAACAAATTGTAACGATTGCAATCGTAGAGACGGTAATGTTCGACGATATCGCGTTCGTTGTTGCCTCCGTGTCCAAGAAATGGTACATTGGGTACGCTTAGTCAAGTATTATAAAATAATCACGTCGAAGTAGAGCGGTGAACTGTTTGGTTGTCTTTCCCTTTATTTTCTTTTTCAAGAAGACTAACCGATTAATAAAACGCTGTCGTTCGTTTGTCCACGAACAATAATACTTGACGAAGTTCTTTAACAAGAAAAGATTTTTTAGTTTTAACATTCATTCACATTTCATTTTCATTTGCTGCTTTATGTGTGCTCTTCCTAGGCTACTCTGAATCGCATGCATTCTTTATTTATTTTTTTTTTTTTTCGTTTTTGTTTCGTTTTTAGACGTCGTCGTGTTAAGTTCTTTTTTTTTCTTTTTTTTTTTCGTTTCGTTTAAGTTTTATTGCGTACTTTTAATATTTATACATGATACCCGATCACCTTACCCCAGATGAGACCCTATCATGTGAGCCGAACATATTTCGACAATTCATTCCTCTCATCGACGATCAATGGGCATTGTTCATTTCATTCCATCAGATCGTGCTGTTTCTATGATATCTCTATGATAAATAGCATTGTAATAACGTCTTGCGAATACGTTGTCAAAATACGTTCTGCGGCACACACACTTGCAGAATGGTATGTTGGTGTACATAAGAAACCACACACAGAAAAACATCTTTTTATAGATTGGTTTTTTGTTTCTGTTTCCGTACCGTTTTTTTGCTCAATAGCTCATTACAATATTCTCTGTTTGAATGCTGCTTAGAGAACTTTAGTCTTTGATCACACCGGTGTCATAGACGGTTACTTAAGGAAATAAAGCTAGAATCCTTACAGATTCGAACGTCCGTCGTAGTATGCGATACACGAGACTCGAAACACACGAGCTGCATTATTGTTGGATATGATACAGCTTCAAGCAAAACAAAGAGAAAAGAAATAACGAAATAAGAAAGAGACAAAAGAAAAGTGTGTTTCGTTCGTTCGATCCGCGAACGAGCAAGACAGTCGACGCGAACCAAAAGTGCTTTCGAGCTGTAAGGTAGACTCACATAATCTTAAAAAAAAAATAAGTATATATATATACGTTATATATATATATAAACAAAAGCGCTTCTCTCATCCACATTGTTCTTAATTCATTCAGATTGTTGACGGTCCATGCGTTTTATGTGATTAACACACATAGAGAGTTGATGCGTTTAATGGTCCGATTTCGATTGCTTACATACTAACAGACGTATGACGTAACAATTGTGTTCTACGTTAGAGACATACGAGTTATTCTCCCCACCTAAAAGAGTATTCCCTTCGACTTGACTTTGACTCGACGGATCTATAGAGGCACATGTTCCTTAACGACTTCATTTTCATCCCCGAGATATATGGACAGAACTGAATAAGATACAATGACGATCCGATACGAGAGGACAGTGGGGCGCGATTTATTTAAAAGAAAAAAAAAAAAAAAGAAGAAAAGTAGTAGACTAGGTCTGGTTCAGTCCAGGGATATAGTAGTATGCCAGCATACCATTGCAGCAGCTCCTCCTCTGCGCCACGCAATCGCTGTTCACCTGCGATACGCAAAGTCCCGCGGCAAATGGCAGCGGTGAAAATGCGGACGCACAATCGACGGCCTCCACTTCTCACAGTCCTCCGCTCACGCAGGGCCACTCGACGTCTACGATTCTGGACTGCAAAACTAACCCCGCCCAGTACGTTCTTATCCAGGGATGGCAGCTGCTCGCCCTCGCTGTTTCGCTCTTCCTACCGAGGAATAATCGGCTACTCTGGTACCTGAAGTTACACTTGCAAAGAAACGCTGACACTAAGTGAGTGCCATTTCGCCTCTGTACAGGACAGGGTAGGCTAGAGCAATTCCGACCAACGTTTGCAAAATTCTAATTAAAATCCTCGATCCGGAAAGTATGCTAGTAATTATTCAATAATGTATCACGTGCTCCATGGTTGGAATTACCTTACCATACCCTTAGTACCCCGTATCTTGGTCCAGATTAAGATAGTCTAGAGTCAGGAGTTTGTTCAGAACAGTTTCACTTGATTCACCAGTAAGGGGAATTGTAACTATTCTGACTCAGTAGTTCCCTGTTAAAAGAGACAATTTCATTGTACATGTACTCAATGTTGCACCAAGGTCTTTGTATATTCTAGTCAAAAAATGAACGTCGACGCTTGCTAATCTGCGGAATGTTAATTTCTAGAACGGAATGCGGCAAGTACGCAGCCTACTGCGAAAGAGCTTTGGAAAGGACTCTACAAAATGGTGGAAGGGAAGTGAAACCCTCGAGAATGGAAGTCCTCTCTATACTGATGAAGAATCCTTACCATCACTCCCTGCCGCACGCGATACCGGTTCATTTTTTAAACGGCACCTATCAGGTTGTAAGCTTCGATGGCAGTACCACGATAGAGGAATTTTTGAACACCCTGAACCAGGAGATCGGCTGCCGGGACGTTCATCAGTCCGGTTTCACGTTATTCAGCGACGACCCGATCGAGAAGGATCTCGAGCACTTTATAGATCTTCAAGCAAAGGTATGTGCTCGATGAACACTTGTTAAAGGATACAGGTAAACGTTTACAGAAGAAACTACCTCGTCGATTTCAATGGTTTTTATATATGAAAACGATGAGGAAGCTTCGATTGCAAAGAATTACCAAGATATGATCTAGAAAGATACTCATTGGGTTTCCTTTGTTTCAGCTCTGCGATATAATCTCGAAATGGGAGACAGCGTTGAGGGAGAAGGGTTCAGGGAAATTCGAAAATACCAGGGTGATACAATTGACGTACAAATCGCGGTGCTATTGGCGACAGGCGGCTAAAATGGAGACTGACAGAGAGAGGCTTTTGCTTTGTTATCAAGTGAATCAACAAGTGGTGTATGGGAAGTTTCCAGTAAATCGTGAGCTTGCGTTCGAGCTTGCATCGTTAATGGCGCAGGTTGGTCCCAAATATTCTTAACACGTTCCCTGTCATTGTCGTTTCATTTAACATAGTGCGTTTAACCAACCGCAAAATTGCAATATAATTAATTACTGCCGGAGTCTTGTGAGTGTGAACGTGTTTAATACCACGAACGACCCACACAGATTGATTTTGGAGAATACAACAACGACAAGGCACGAGGAAGCGGCCCAGGAAGCAATCTGCACCACCTGGTGCTTCAGGCCCTGGGCAAGTTTTATCCGATACGATACCGGACGAATATCACTGCCGAACAATTGAGGCAAGTACAAGAAGAAAGTTAAAAAAAACTATCGAAGATACACGGATGCTTTTGAAAACTAACACGGTCCATATTAATCACAAATAATTACAGTAATCGTGAATAAACGCAGGGTGGTTTCGAAATAAGACCGAAGTCGAGAGCAACGAAATTGCGTCGGTTTCCGGGAAAGTTGAATATACCAATTATTTTCTTGAATAAAGAAAATTGTTTATTGTAGGGAGCTGCAAGAAAAACTACAAGAAAAATGGATCGCTTTGAAAGGTCGCAGCGTATTAGACTGTGTTCGCATATATCTAACCTGCACCAGGAAGTGGCCTTTTTTTGGAGCAACACTTTATCAAGCAAAAGTAAATAAACGAAGATTCTCGCGGATAAAAGCGAATATACAGGGTGTGTCGGGGTCAAACCTGGGGGAAATTTTATTGGGGGATTCTAGAGGCCGAAATAAGATGAAAATCAAGAATACCAATTTGTTGATGGAGGCTTCGTTAAAAAGTTATTAACAATTGAATTAAAAAGTTTCAAATCGTTCTAAAAAAATTATTCTCGGTTGCGGGGGTCAATTAAAATCATTTTTGGTCATTACACATACCCCCGAATTCCTACCCACTTTTTAGAAAAAAATTCGAGAAGGTGTAAGATTTTTCAACGGGAAAAAAAAATTTCAAATCTTTCTGGAAAAATTATTTTCGATTGCGGGGATGAATTACAATCATTTTTGGTGAATAGATATACCCCTGAAATCCTACCCATTTTCGAGAAAAAAATTCGAGTAGGTACTGAAATTTTTTGACGAAATTAAAAAATTTCAAATCATACTAAAAAAATTATATTTAGTTGCAGGGGTCAATTACAATCATTTTTGGTAAATAGACATATCCCCAAAATCCTGCGCATTTTCGAGAAAAAAATTCAGTACGGGCGGAACTTTAAACGTTAATAACTTTTTAACGAAGCTCCTATCAACTAATTAGTATTGTTGATTTTCGTGTTATTTTGGCCTCGAGAATCTCCCATTAAAGTTTTTCCCAGGGTTGGCCGTATACCCTGTACAGAGTATAAAAATATTTCGTTTCGCAGTTGAAACAATCTGAACCAATGACCGCATGGATTGCCGTCTCCGAAGACAGTGTAACGTTACTCGAGCTACAAACGATGGCAGTGATGTGCCGTTACAACTACGCGAATATAGTTACATTCGGAGGATGTTTAGATGATTTTATGCTCGTCGCTTGCCCCGACGAAGGCGCCGCGGAACAAAAACTTTTATTCGCGCTTTCGAAACCTAAGGTATGGAGACATATATCGTTGCCCGTTAAAAAGCATTTAACGGGAATGAAGCTTTTCATTGACAACGTTTTCGTGCTCTTACAGATTTTGGAGATAACATTGTTGATCGCCGATTATATGAATGCCTTGGGACACGCTTTACCTGGTACCCCACAAATGAACACGCTGACCCGTAATGGATCTCATCGGTCCATCAAATCCACTCTGAGACCTACCACTGGTTCGTAAAAATACATACTTTCACGATAATTAAACAAACGTATCTTTAAAGTGTTTACCAATTCAGTTTCTGGTCCAAATTATGCTTGTTTAGTTTCTTATGTTATTCGTTGTATTTTTATTAACGAAATAACAATCGCATCAGGTTCTAGCTGTCTTCCAACGCAACCGGATATTTTGAAGTCAACACCAGACCACCAAAGACCTTAAAAACTCTGGTCAATCGAATTCGTTGAAACGGAGCAGGGAAACGTGGCTCTTGGTTCGTGAAAGTCTGATCCCGCCAAGGCACTAACTTTATACTCGAAGGTACTACAGCCTTGTATTATAAGAATCACCGCGAGAACGACGGAAGAATGCTGGTCGACGCGCAGCAAAGTGCGCGCTGTAGTTAATTTTAGTTGCGTTTTTTTGTGTAAATTAGAAACGATGCTTACGAACGACGTATTTATGTAAATACCCGACAGCATGCAGAACAACACACTCCTGTGGTCCACGTTACGCGATTCAAACGTGGGTGACTGAAAAACTACTCGAAATCGATCCGTAAACACTGCCTAAAAGTAAATTTAGTATGTCTGAAACAACATCGAACAGTTTCGTTGGAAGGCTAAGCATCGCGCTGAGACTTTTTTGCTACCGTATTTATATACCAAATTCAAAACGTTAGCGATTAAGGTAAAAAGCTACGTAAAAGTGGTGTATCACATACTATGTACATAATTAATCAGAGTTACTGGATGTTTAGAAGTCTAGCGAGCAATGCAAGCGATACCTTTGTCTCCGATATGAGAGTACGTCGAGAAAGATTTCTTACTTCTTGCCAAATCGACCGCAATCCACGGTGTACGGTGGGCTGCAACCGAAATACTGCAGCTTCTAAATGAAAACACACGGTGATTGTTATTACTTGGAAATGAGTATGCAATTTTTTTAACGAACATTTCTTTTAAACGCAAAAATATATATGCCGGACACGGTGACTGTGTACCTACTGTCGTTGTAGATTCGAAGCACGATTTCGATAATTGTTTTATCCGTGCAAAAAAAGATCTATGTTTCGATTATGAGTGTATTATACGCGATTTTTTTTTTTTTTGTTTTTCTCTCGTCAATCCACTACATTTTACACGCTCGATCTTTTTGTAATTCTCGATCATTGAAAGATGGACGATGGACAGCAAGTACAGACAGTATTGTATGTAAGGTCTCATCAATGTTCGATTCGTAAGGGAAAGAACTCTTTGTACGATAAACGACGAACGGAACTTACATAATTGTCATGTTATTTTGATAACAGCTAGTCTCATATTTTATATTTATTTAACGTCTAAGCGAATAAGTTCGTTTTATATAAGGACACGACCAAATAGATGTAATGGGAACGCATTTTTTTTTTTCTTTGACAATTAGTATCGTTCCTGTGTAATGTATGTGCAAACAACACTTTTGTACCAATCGAACGGTGAATCCCGTCACTATAGAAGTTTTGTACGCGCTTGACGTGTCCTACGTAACTAGCAAATGTCTTCCTTCTCTTTAGTAACCAGAAATAAATAAAAAAAAAAAATAAATAAATAAATAAAAAAAAAAAAAAAAAATTTGAAAGTAGGGCTTTCGTGCAATATTGTACAAGACTTCTATAATTTTGTAATTCCTGGGATAGGCTGAGAATGACTGTGCCTCTCTGAGCAGAATAGACAAAGTAATTCTATGCACGGCTTTGTTTAGCGCATTGAAGATTTTATATAAAATGAAACGATCGAACCTCAGATTACTGGGAGCAGTACAAAGATATGCAAGAACGACATTTTGTCTTTAATTTTTATAATACGCAATTGAATGCTACTACTCGGGTGCTCTGTCACCTTTGTATCATGATGCAGTAAAGTCACTGATTCTGTAAATATCACGTTAGGCTTAAGTTTCTAGTTGTAGTAGAAAGAGAAGAAAAGGGGCAGCTGATAAAATTTAACAACGGTCATAGAAATTTCTTGCGATCGTCGAGAGAAGCTGTCTGCGGTTAATTCTATTGAGCCTACCACATTACATTTCTATTTATTATTTATTCGCATAAAATGACGCATAAAAGGCACGAGCGGTGTATGGCAGAAAGCATTGTACTATTGTACAGAAAAAGAAATAAACTGCTCGGATCTGCACTTTAAGAGATTATTTATTCACTTTAGATGTTAAAAATTTCATCGCAATAATAACTAATAATAATAATAGTAATAATAATAATAATAATTTCGAGTATACTTAAAAAAGTGTTATTTATTTTACGTTGTTTCCTTGACAAAGTATTTATACGTACGTTTAATCTACTTCTTCCGGTCTCACGGGATGAGTCAATGGTATAACCGATTTTTTTGTTACATCCCTTGACAGTGCTTTCCTCATATCTGATAAGAAACGTGCATAATATTAACCTAAAAATTTAAACGATTCATTTATGAAACACGATGTTAACTACGTACCAAAAGCATTTTCATCCGGATCCCCGTTATAGTATTCTAGAACAGTCCTATACACGATATAACCTAACTGTTCGTACATTCTGATTGCCACTTTATTGCTAACTCTTACAAAAAGATCCACAAAATATGCTTGTTTCCTGCAATAATGTAAAGCATCTTGAAAGAGTCTCAAAATTACGAAACGTTAAACACTATTTTCAAACTTACATTTCTGAAAGCTCTTCCAAGGATTTTACCAACGTTGCGGCTAGACCTAACCTTCTATACACAGGAGACACTGTGAGTGCTGTTATGTGACCATGCCAATTCTCCCCATGACCTTCAGCCTTTCCCATAACTTCGACATTTTTCAAATAAAGAAACATCTAAGTCTTGTATTCATTCACAAAGCACGGAGCAAATAACGGAGAAGCAAAACTTACTGTAACCCATAACTTCTCCGCACGGTGATTCCGCTACCATAAAATATTCAGGCCAATGCGCCAAATAATGCGTATAGAAGTTAAGCCCGTACTGCAAAGCAGAATCTTAAGGAAAAAACAATTCGCGACCGATGTACCGATACCGCTTAAAAGCTAACTGTTTGCATCAAAAAAGCAAAAACCACTTAAAGGATACTGTCTCTGTAAGTGGATCCAAATTCCTATAAAGAACAGTAAAACTGTTAAGATAGACAAATTATCGTTCCGATTCGTAACTTATGCGAATTTAGGTTAGGAAAACTGTCGCTTCGCAACATGTATCTTTCGAAACTTACAAATTGTTGAATTTGAACAAATCGTTGCATGTAAATGGCCTGAGAGTTGTCATGTTTTAGAAATTTCAAAAAATCGCGTCGACAACGATAATTTCAACCCAACCAGACACGAAAACAATATCAGCACTTAACCTTAGACTGCATTTACGGATATACCCGACGTCACTGATTCATGAGCACCACGTGATACATATGCTAAATAGTTGATAAGCTTGACGATAGATGGTGTTACCTAAACTTTGAAATATCACGGAATATCCTTAAAATGTATTTATCACTCTTAAACAAGTACGGATTAAAAAAGAAGATTAGAGGTGGCCCATCAAAAGATTATTCTCGCTTTGCTAATGTTTTGTCAATGAATTAAATCATTTTTAAAGACCTCTTTAATAGGGCCTCCAATCATTTCTCAGAAACCTTAATTCGGCCTTGGCTAAAAAGGACACAATATTCTTACGAACAAGACGAAATTTTATATAAAATATGTAATCTTAAAACTTAAATAAATGTTACCTTAATGTGTCTAATAAATACTAATTATTTTACAATGATACTGCATCCTAGGAATTTTTCTGGCACTACAGTAACGCCTGGCGGATAAGGAGACTTTTGTAACTACGTACAGCGTTTATAGAGGAAAAGGAGGTAACTAGGTCTAGTGATTTTCCCCTTTTACGAAACGAATCATTATTCTTTAATCAACAAAAAAATTAATTTTAGCAATAGAATAAATTCTGAGGAAACAAACATAGGCAAACATAAAATTATTCAAGGAAACTATTTGTTGAATTCTATACGGAATTTCAATTAAAAATGGGGTTACTGGGTAAATAGGACAACTGCTATATAGGCACACTGGGGGAAGAGTATTCATAATATTGGTTTACGCATGTTATCAGTAACGTACGTGCTATTTTTAAATTCTATATACGCTTTATTAATAATAGAAAATGTATGAAGTCATCAAATAAAATACGTCTCTGGTCAAAGCGGTGCATTGATACAGAAGGCCAATGAGAAGGCGATATTGTTTATGCACTTCCTTTCATTTCGAACAAAATCAGCCCAAAGAAAGAAAATTGTACAAGTCATTATACGTAGTCTGAACAAACAGAGAGGGTAAACAGCAAGGGGGCTCCACCTGTAAATAGGGGCTAATCTAATTGAAAATACTATATCGTAGTAATTTTACATAAGTATTAAATATAGGTAACATAGAGGTCATGCATAATGTTACCATACGTGCAGTTGCAAGATTATTCGATCTTCATTTGAAATAGGTCGAACAGAATTTACTAAACCATACAAACGGCAAACTGCACTTGCATTTTGAATTATACTATTATTTCACGCATTATCAGACACAATTATTCGTAGTTTATGATCGTATGTTATCAAAAGATAACATAAATCATAAATCTTCGGAGATAGACGAAGTGTTAGAAAATTTCGGATATGTGAATAAACATTTTCGTAGATCGCTGTCGAGAAATAAAAATGGAAAACATGAGTGGTGTGTGCTGTCGTTACCTGATAATAACACGAAATATTTTCGTGCAGCATCGGAGACAAGACTTCATGAACACTTCATTTGTCTCATCATCTTTATCATCTAAACATATACGTAACAACTCTAATTCGTAAGTTCGTACATAGAATCTAAATAAAATTTCTTTCATCGACAATATCGTCTACGTTGATTTTTATTCAAGAGTGATACCAGTTAAGCTTGCATACGCATCGTACGAGTCAATGATGGGAAGCAAAAATGTATCCAAACAACCTATTATAATAATGCATGGTCTGTTCGGTTCAAAGCATAATTGGAACTCTTTATCGAAAGCGATCCATCAGCAAACAGATCGTAAGGTAGATACACGGACTTTGTTTTATATGAGAAATACTTGGAACGTCTTTATAGGTAATAACTGTAGACGCAAGGAATCATGGTGATTCTCCACATTCTACAGAAATGTCCTACAAGCATATGGCAAAGGACGTGGTTCAACTTATGAACGACTTGGGATTTGAGAAATCTATACTGATAGGGCACAGCATGGGAGGCTCTACAATGATGTATGTAGCCTTGCATTATCCAGAACTAGTAGAAAAATTAATAGTAATAGATATATCTCCTGTGAGGACTAGTCCTCAACTTTTGGAACTTAAAAAGATATTCCATATTATGCGTACTTTGAAACTAACCGGAAGCCCGTCGTTAACAAAAGCACGTAGACTGGCGGAGGATCAACTTGCAACCGTTGTCAAACATTTGAGTTTACGTCAGGTAAATAGTCAACTTTTTATATTTTTCGCGAACTGTTAGACGGCACTATTTTTTACATAAATTAAGATTATATTTTACTGCAGTTTTTAACAATGAACATAGTGGAAGCTGATAATGGACACTACAAATGGCGAATTAATTTACCTGTACTCGAACAAAATTTTGAATCGAAAATAGCTAAATTTCCAGAGTCAGAGAACGTTTACAGAGGACCGACATTATTTATAGGAGGTGCAAATAGCGATTATATAGTAGCAGAAGATCATGATAAGATTAAAAAATATTTCCCCTCCGGCCAGCTTATATACATAAACGATGCAAATCATTGGGTTCACGCGGATAAACCGACCGAGTTCCTAAAGATCACAGTTGATTTCATTAATCAACCATGATCGTAATTATGGTACCAATGTAAGAAAAGCACACAATGTATTTTGTAAACATATATATGTTTATGTGAAATTTATAACATTACAGGGTCAAATAAGTGAAAAATAGCAAATTAAAATATAACTGTACACAGTGTGAACAAACTTGTAAATTCTGTGTCAGGTAAGAACTTATAAAGCTTAACATTTTTTTAAACTCCTTATTCGTTACGTTTCCATAAAAACTACATATTTAATATTTTTCAGCTTGGAAAACATTTTATCAAAACTGGAAAATAGTTCCACATAAGGCCATGCTTTAATATAGGATAACTATTCAAAAAGTAAAATTCCAACAAGATCGTTACATTATTAAAATATAATACGCTTGATCACAGAGGTGTTCAATAAATTATGTAAATTCAATGAATTACATATATTGTAAATTTTGTATTTAAGCGATGTAAAAATTTATAGTTGCAACTTTGTGCAAAATTAAATAAAATTATAATTTAAAATTAGTTAAATGCGTGCTAATATTATCACAATCATTTTTGCAAAGTGCAAATTCTTTACTAATTTCTGTTCATATAATTTAACAAACCACATACTAAAGTACATCATGTGTATGTCCACCATTGTATGCATAATCTGCTTTATTGTGCATTACCAATTGATTGTCCACAAAATAAAACGAATCCGAGCGTGTTTCAAATGGATTTGCAATCATTTCAGAAACTGCAAGATCATTTTTAATACCCATATAAGAAAACATTAACGTATTTAATTATCAAACAACCAAATTTATCACTTACCCAAATCGGCTGGCAGAGTAGGAAACTCGTAAATGTGTTCACAGGTGTTCTTGCTGTTCGGTATACAAAATCCGAATTGAAAGTCAAAGGTTTTTAACAATCTGTCCCGAAAGAAGTGACGTTCGATCATTCGAAAGTTATTCACTGGTTTAGAGCCCACGAGAAACTCGACTGTAGCCCCGACAGTCTTCAGTTTAAGAAATTGAGGTGTAAATTGATAACGTACAAATCGACCAGTATTTGTATCCTCGCAACCAGATTCTTCGCAATCCGGTTCAACTTCTTGATGGTGATCGCATTCTAAAATATACAAAACAGATCCATAACGTACGTATAATATAGAAAAAAGTTTAAGACTTAATTGGCTGATAGAACTTATAAAAATAAAAAACAAAGTTTTAAATGGAAGTAAAACTAAGTATTGTTCTTTGTATAATTACATCTACTGTAAAATAATAACATTTTGGAAATTTAACATCCGAACAAGTAATAGGTGACCTCAGAATGAATAGACTTGTTGTGAATTATTTTTATATATATTTACATAAAAATAGTGGATGGTACAGTATGCATAATTGTACAAAGAACTACTAGCTTATGAAGTAAAAGGTTAGATATCTGAAAAGTGTTTGCTTTACAACTTATATTAATCCTTTTGCTATTGCTGAGGACTTTAGTTATTCTTTACAAAATATTACACACACAAGACTAGAATCAAACTGTGTAGATGGTCTTTAGCTGACTCTACTGTAGCAAAAGGATTAATTAAGACTTTCTTATTGTTTAAGTCCTACTAACCAATTAAGTTTATACCTATAACCTTGAAATATTTTACGTAAACAAATTTATATGAAGTATTTTAGTCGCTACTAACCAACAGCTGGTGGTTTGGTTATTTCGAACAATATTGCTCCTGTATCTAGATCTCTAATTTGGAATCTTGTAAAATCAATATCGTAAATATTAGCCTCCGGAGAACACAAATATTCTGAAAGCAAAAAAGAACAATTGTTATTTTATATCGAAGATATTAGCAAGGGTGGTCGTGTTTGTTAAATTTTTGTTACTTATTGATATATTGCAATGGAAAATGTCTTACTGTCAGTAATCGTAGGCAAACGCAACACTATTTCTGGGGTTATAGGACTTCCTTCGATATTTCCATTGTCGGCACTCTCCTGATTTGTTGATGGTGTAAACGGAACAATAGCTTCGTTCGATTTGTTTTCACTATCGACACTCATAATTCCAGCGTAGTTATACCATTAAAAGACAATTAGTTTTCACTCAAATGTAAATATCACGGATGATAATCCAGACGTATCACACGTGAGATGATGCTCATTGAATTTTAATTTTTTACATATTTCGTTTTATCCGATATTTCCAGTCGTGGAAATATCTATCCATTCGATGTCATTTTTATTGCAGAAGTTTTGTAGCATTTCTTCGTACTTCGACAATTATTAATGCGTCGTGTAAAGAATGTCAATCGTAAAAATATCCCGAAACTATACACGGCTATAGAGAAACCACTGTGTTGTTTATGGAACGTTGTTCGTTTCACAAACTATAAGTGAATCTAAATACACGAAACTATTTAATTATTCCCCGAATATGTACAATGGACAACAATAATGCTTGCCGTTTAAGGGGAAATCACCAAACGCCGGCTACTTAACGAGAGGCTACCTTTAAATTTATATACACTCACGCAAAAATGTGAGTATGCACGTGAACTCGATCTTCGGATACACCGCATACATACGATACGACTCGTACGAGGGCTTGAGGCATAATGAGGTTTCGTGCCACCATTGGGGCAAAATACACCACAGACGCCACCTCATCGACGCCTAAGGTACTACGTTTCTGGGCGGTTAATTCGAAAATAGGGAATCAAATTATTTATAGGTTTACATATAAAATATAGACATAATATATGGGCTTTTTAGAATCAAAATTGGTCAATTTCGAAAAATATGAGGTAAAAGAAATTGATATCAATAAAAAAATGACTTAATGAATTTCGATACAGGTGTTTAAGAAGGAGAAGGGGTACCCAAGGCTAGAGACTTTCCCCTTAAACGATAAAGATTATTGCAGTCGATTGTACAATTATTTTCAATAGCTTTGATGTACTTTATGTTGTTACCCACAACATTTGGTACACGGGAAAATGTTTTCCCAATTATGTTCGATTTCCCAATTTAATTAAAAGCTTTTGAAAGTTATAGTATACTAATAATTTTGATATTTCTACCTTTTACATTTAGTATTTTATCATTATTTAATATTTGTCTGGCTCGCCTGGCGAAGGTATTTAACAACATTGACAGTGTTAAGACCGAACCTCTTCTTTATATTGGACTGTCACGGTCTACATACTAATGAAAATTTCCATATACGATCAATTTAATCGATCCATTTGAATTCTCATATCGATTAATTGTGTCACCAGTGACAAATACGAGTACTCGAGAGTTTCTTTAATTTTATAATAATTCTGTGCGCGTACGTATGTACACGGTAAACAAACGATCATGCCTAATCAATCTCAAAAGTCCAACGAACCATACCGTGAATTAGAATTATGTGGTTCTGAATTGAATGTTAATTCAGAAAGTACCTCAAGATGTAGCAGAAGTTTTGGAAACAATGTTGAAAGTATGATGGAACTATCTTCTGTAGTAGTAATTCCAGACGGTATACTATTTTTGCAAAACATGCATATTGTTCGCATAGAAAAATTGATCTCTTTATAATATTACTGACACTTTTTATGTACAGGGTAATCTACTTAAACTTATCTAAACAGGAATGGGTAATTGTAAGTTGTGTAAATATTTTACTATGCATGAGAACGTAACATTGGATTTAACGGAGCTATTTCGATTAACGATTGTTACGAACACAAATCTTTCTCTGCAAGATACTAATCCGACGAACTTGATTTCTACCTGGGTATGAATTACAAAGATACTAACAATCAATTTTAGAAATGCATGCGAACTAAAAATAATCTCAATATTTTTATTTTCTTCTGTAAAATATAGCTATAATCAACGGATTGCGACTGAACTCGACTGCTTGTAACTGAAAATACGTTATATAGATTTTTTGGTTGAAAATAAACAAAAGTAGTAGATTAAATTGACATCATTTTATCGGTAGATACGAAAAATGTACTTATTTTTGTTAACTATATTAATAACTGCTTAGCAGGCCTTTCTTTTTTAAATTTTCAGCCAAGAAAGATATAACTTTTCATGTTTGCATGTTTTACCAAGCATACATTGGTGAATACTATTGTATTTATTTATTTTTATATGTATTTTTGTGTTTAATATTAAATAAGTCTTAGAAAATACTGTTTTCTCTTTAATATAAAATTTAATTTGTAAAGAACGAAGCATGTTATAAACTATTTAAAATTAATTTGTCTTAAATAGTAATGTATTTTTTTAAATTGCGTATTGATATCAGTATTCATTGACAGATACGTTTACTGTAATCCAAGCTATCAATGCACTAGGATTTGGCAAATTTCAAGTTAAACTGTCTCTGTTCACGGGTCTCTGTTGGATGGTAGACAGTATGGAAATAACGATATTAAGTATTTTAAGTCCATCATTGCATTGCGACTGGGGTATAACTAGATATCAACAAGCTTTGGCAACTACGGTAACCTACTTGCATAAAAAAAATATATTACAACGCCTCTGTAATAATTTTAATGCCATGCATGATCATGATTATTCCAGGTTGTTTTTCTAGGTATGATGTTAAGTTCTACATTTTGGAGTAATTTGAGCGATAGATACGGTAGTAAGCAATCTTTAACACTGTGTGCTGTATTGTTACTTTACTATGCATTTTTGAGCGCTTTTTCCCCGAATTTTCTTTGGATTTTATTACTTAGAGGATTAGTTGGCTTTGCTATTGGTTGTGTGCCACAATCGTAAGTATTTGGTAAGTTCTTCGAATGAAAATAATATATTAAAAATAAATTCAAGTAACATTACTCAATTTCTACTTCAGAGTAACATTGTATGCAGAGTTTCTTCCAGCAAAGCAAAGAGCAAAATGTGTTATTTTATTAGACGTACGTGTAATTATAAATAAATTTTAATAACGTTTATATTTGTTTCGTTCAACTAAAATAATTACTTCTTTAATAGTGCTTTTGGGCACTCGGAGCTTGTTTTGAAGTGGCAATAGCATTGGTAATAATGCCAAACTTTGGTTGGAGATGGCTTCTCATTCTGTCAACAATACCACTTCTTGTGTTTGCTGTAATTACACCAGTAAGTAACATAAGTAATTAATACTATTAAAAGTTATACACATCCATTGTCATGTTTCCTGATAGTGGTTACCAGAGTCTACAGTATTTGATATGACAACCGGAAGAATGGATAAAGCTATTTCCACGTTAGAACGAGTAGCAAGAGAGAATAAGAAACCTTTACCACCGGGAAGACTAGTCATGGATCGGTTCTATCAAGTGAATCATGGCAAATTGAAAGATGTGCTAAGTAAAGAAATGTGTAAGACATCTACATTACTTTGGCTCGTATGGTAAATATTTTAATTTCAATTGCGTTTTTCTAGCGTGTACAATAAGGAGCATAACTAATCCAGTAGCATGTTTCATAAAATTATTTATTATACATATACACGATGGGCAATACGAAATATGATTCCGTGATATTTGAACTCCCGGTATACAGTTATACCGGGAAATTGATGATTATCAATTCGATTATGCTATTCATTGTACGTTGTATAAAACTCGTATCGACAGTTCATAGATAAATAATTGAAATAATATTTTTAGGATGAGTACAGCATTTTGTTATTATGGCGTGGTGTTGATGACTACAGAACTATTTCATACGTCGTCGGAGCAATGTAGCTCTTGGAAAAATAAAAAAGAGGATACCTGCCAATTGGATTGCCGCTTGGAACGTAGCGACTACATTGATCTTCTTTGGACAACGTTAGCTGAATTCCCGGGAATCTTTTCCACTATATTTGCAATTGAAAAAATTGGCAGGAGAAAAACTATGGCTTTTCAACTAGTAATGTTCGCCATGCTGATTTGTTTCTTAGGCAGAGCTTGCTTGTTGAGCAGAGCAGCATTGACACTCGCAGTATTTCTAGCCAGAGGCTTAATTGCTGGTGTATTTCAAGCGGCTTATGTCTACACTCCAGAAGTATATCCTACCCACTTGCGTAGTATCGGAGTTAGTACTTGCAGTGCCATGGCTAGAATTGGCGCTATGGTCACACCGTATATAGCACAAGTATTTCTTCAATGGTCTATAACTGGCGCGATGGCGATATACGCTGTAACAGCGTTATGCGCTGCTGCGGCTACTCTCGCTTTGCCAGTTGAAACAAAAAATCAGTCGTTGAACGATTCGACTCAGGAAACTAGATGAACTCTGTTTGATTAGATACGAGAATATATTTTTGTTGATATAATATTGTTCAGCTAGCACATAACTTTGAACCAGCAATCTTTGTATAATGTAACAAATATCCTTATAACTATTGATATTGATTTATTTCAGTTTTTTTTACATCTTTATAGTTACATGTACACATAATTAATGTTACTTTTAATGTTTGACCATTTTTTACTTCATGAACTGACCAGAAGTAGAATAAATTATACGTATCGCATTATAAGTTATTCAACACACGTTTACTATTCTCTTGCAGTATTTGTGTTAAATATAGACTTCAATAATGGATTTTAAAAGTACATAAGAAATGTAAAAAGACTGATATAAAATATTAATATACAACACAAGTGCCAAAATGCACAAAACGTGCAAGATTAATATTCATACGTGATAAATAATGACTTTTCTTACATGTTTTAATGTTTATATAAATGATAAGGTATGTAAAACTAAAACATTAATTTATTACTTTAACACAGACGCAAAGAATATTACTTTGAACATTTGATTTTTGTATGATTGTTCTTCCAACTCTATATTTGTATAATAAAAAAATATTGAGGAATAAAAAAATTGTACTATAAAATAAAAATCTTAGCAAATTGGTAGACTTTTCAAACTTAACAAGAAATAAATAATATTTTACCTACAGTGCAAGTACATATATTTTTATAGACATGGATTCTAGTATTTTTTGTTACTGTAAAACTATAATGATCAATTTTTATATTCGCTTGATAGTTGGAATGTTCTATAATAATTTCCGCTATGTTAAAAGAAAGTAGGCCACATTAAAAAATGTTTTTCTTTTTTTTCAATATATTATACGATTTCAAATAGCTTGAATATAAGAAAGTAATTCTTCTTTCAAATATCTTGTAGACTCACTCGACCCTTCGGATTCATTCGTCAAGGTAAACGCTAGGAGAACAGTGGGAAATAATTCCAATTCGAGTAACGTCTTATCAAAACATGCATCATTAAACGTTTCCCCGGCTAATCTTTTCAAATAAAACGACATCTCACTGCTTGCCAAATTTTCGTGAACAAACTCAATCACATTTATGTATTTTTCGTTAACAGAAAATGTTCCTTGTAAAATAATGTCGTCCGGAAATTTAATACGAATTAACGAGAATTTATATTTTCTATGTCTCTCTTTTGTGTCCTTTTCTCTCATACGTTTTGTCCTCAGCATTTGATTTCTTTCGACATCTTCGGTTCTATTAATATTAATAAAGATGGATATTTTATCAAATTAATCGAATAACATTTAATATTTCACTCGTAATAATTATATGTTAAATTACCGAAGTTGCTGTTCCCTTTTTATTTGCTCCGCAGTCAGGTTAAAGAAGTTCTGTGGCAATTCGATTCTCTTACTCGCTGCCACAGGTAATAACACTTGGAGATTTCTATCTAATTCAAGCGGAATAGGTTCTGCAGACCTTAGCGCTTCATTTAACATGGCAACATCTTCGATGTTACAATTCTCTGGATCCCAAACTAAGAAATCTTCTTCCACATCATTGTTCATCAACTTTTTCTGGCGAAAACCAGCAGCATTTAAGAAATCTAACGCTCCTTCAATTGGTAGAACTTTTTCCTATAAAATAATAATTACATAAAAACATTTGAACATTGGTTTTAGACGTACGATGAAAACAACAATATTTACTTGGAATATCCTATTATGAGTCCTAATTTTTCTGTATTTTTCTGATTCTGGGTTGTTTATAATGTTTTCTAAATACTTTCCAAGTGTTTCGATACAATTATTAATTTGTTCTCTTCCAGTATTACAACTCTGTATAACTAAACATGCTGTTAAACCTGCTTCGTCCCCTTTTAATTGTTCATATAAAAATACTTTTATTTTTTTTCTCCATTCATCTTTTGACAATATTTCATTGGATAAATATGGACAACGAAAATATACACCGGTAACAGCTAGCACGGAACTGTCTTCGATCGTGTCTTGAGTTTTGTTTTCTGATTCTTTACGAGTCTTTTGTTTTTCCTGTTCTAACTCTTGTTTTACTTGTGCTTTTATAGCTGCATACGACCTACTAAAAATATAGCCTCGTGTAATTTTTATTAATTACTGTTAGATTAAAAAATACAAAAAAAAACTACTATAATTGTACACAACTTACTTGCTACATTTAGTTGCGTTACTTGTTTTTGCTTCCAGTCTTGCCAGAGTAGCTAGACCAGCTACTTTAACTTCTTGCGTAGGTTCTACTCTTTCTATTGGCCTTGATGTTGAAGGTACACTGCTGCTGGTTGAATCTGTCAATCTGCGTGTAATCATTTTTAATTAAATAAGATACTACGATCGTAACAATTATTCAACTACCTTATGTATAACAGCACTAAATAATTGCAAGTATATTATTTAAAATCTGAAAGCTAACAACGAATATGTGTTAATTATTGAAAATTATTTACACAATAAATGTATAATAACATGCATTTATTGTTGTTACAAAGGTAGTATATATAATAAATAAACTTTGCTATATACTAAAAAATTTACTTGTATCCTTTTCCAGCATTCATAAATTTTGCATTCAATCTCTTCTTTTGAAAGAATTCTTTAATTTTATCCGCCATTCTTGTTAATTGTTTCAATATTACAATGAAATATAACAAGTAGACTTATTGTGTTAATAAGATTTGCTGGTTATTAACAATCTTTTAGGACAATCTTCCTATTTTTAATAAGGGAACCTATAATTAAACAAATTTTACATATTTTCGCTATAGCGCGCATAAATATAATTATAATTACTACGTTCACAATTACTTTGTTTAAGTTAAGTTGCTTACATCGAGTAAGAAATTATTCTCCCGATGAAGACTCACGATTCTCTGGTATAGGTTCTATAAAGAAACAAAATTATGATACCGCATTGTTAATTCTTATTTTTGCACCGGTCATTTTTTTTTTAACACACATAATGAATTATAAATCTTCCAGTATTAAAACTTTTATAATTAACGTGTTCAAACAAAAAAATCCAGGATTATAATAAGCCACAGATTTTAAACTAACAAATTAATGGCTTGCTACTTATGTACGAGTAAAATTACTTAGAAATTCCAGATTTCAATATGTTAGATATAGTACGAAAATAGATACGTAAGTATGCATATTGTTCACCATCATTCTAATAATACAATGAAATTAATTTTCTGTATTTATTATTACGTATACACAAAGAACTCTTTATATGGTTTTTGCAATATGTGTATGTAGGTACATCAAGAAAGAAAATATAAATTCTCTTACTTGGTTCCATAAATTGTTCAGAAATTCTAGCGCCGTAAATATGCCAAGCGATAAAAATCAGAGCCAGAATGCTAATAAACGTCAACAAGAAAACTTTTAATAACTGCAATTGAAAGTCGTCGAACGCAAACAAGGCTAGAAACTCGTAAAAACAATTAAGCAACTTTTTTCCAATTTCATCATCGATAACAATATTGGTCGAATTAAACGTTAACCCAAAAGTTGTGGATACTATGTTCACTAAGCCACATACAAATGTATTGATTGTCTCTGCCAAGTAATCTATCCAAGCCCACGAATTTTCATGTGTACTACTCATTACATGTAAAAAGTTCAATTAGATTACTTAGAGACTTAACACGCACTTCTGCTCATCGCTTTGTTACGTCATATCATACTTCCAACCGTTCGAAATGTTCGAATCACTCTGACTTACGAGCATAGATTCAAAAATGTGATGAAATCAAATTCGCTAAGGAAACTCTCGGATACCCTTAAAAACATCATTCGGTTTACTCTCTTATTAGAAAATATCCTGCGTAGTGTTGTGGTCGCCGCCTGGCGCCGTGTAGCAGAAGCTCTGGGGGGCGCGAGGTTTAAATCAGATTACACGAATGTAATAGGAAAGGGAGACAAAGTGGAGTCCGCGCCAATTCTAAGGTTTAAAAGTGGTTAGAGATTCTTTTAATGACTTCACTTCGGGTCATAGATTAGCCAATAATTTATTGGAGACGGATGTTTGGATCGTCGTGAGCTCCCCTTTGATCCCTTCTCCTAAGTGTGTAATTCCTGGAACTTGGGCCGTGCGCTATCGATAGCCGGAAACGGGCTGCGTGGGAAAGCCGATAACGGCCACGTGCTGCAGAGGACCGTTCTCGAGGGATCGGGGGTGTGCCGAGGAACGCGCGTGCGAGAGTTTTGCGCCCGGCCCGAATAAAGGAAAGGACGATCTGGAGGGGCCTACGTGTGGGCTGGGCCTCGACCGGCCGGCAGAGCGACTCACTTGAATCCAGAGATCGAAAGTGAACGGACGTATCATTGTAACTTAAGCGAGATCGTACTTGTATTATTTGAGTTAGTTAATTTATTTGAATCGGCGAAGAGAGAAGCATCTTGAATTAAGAGAGCGGAAGTGTACGAACGGGTTACAAGATTCCTGCGAAATCTTGGTTGTTTTGTTTTATATTCCTTTATTGAGTTAATTAAAGTACTATTTACGTGTGTTCAAATCGTTGTATCCATTTATTATCTTCCTTATCTAGCGATCTCCGTTTGAAACTCCCGCGTCCAAGGAGCAGAGTGCCTTGGCACTCCACGGGCAGCGTTCCCCGCCGAATTCCCTACGGAGGATCGGAAATTCGCCGCCGGACGCGCAACAGTAGGAATCCTACTAGGATTTCTCTCTAGGGAAATTTACCGCTCTACGGAAACACAGAACAGTGATACCATTCACGTAGCGCGATAGTTTATACATGTACAAAATATGTAAAACCGTTATATCTTAATCTTTTTTTAATTTTAGGATATAATTTATAAATTATTAGTTATTAAATGCTTACTGCGTTCTGAAAATGAACTTCGGCACACGTAATTTACGTAATTCATATTTTATTTAAACGTTAAACGTATTTAAAATATTACATGTATTTGATACATCGGAATATGCAGAATAGAAAGGGCGGGATAAATTGATATGTAACATACCAATCACATCTCGCCCTGTATATATTTGCAAAAATTTTTATTTTGCATTTTAAAAAGTTCATTGTAAGAATTAAAAGTTTAACAAATGCACTTTTTTTTACCTTATGATTAATGCTTGCTATAAACATATACATAACCGAGGTACATTAAGTATACTACTGCATATCTACATATATCATTTTATACATACAGCTATTATACATATATATATATTTTTTAAATAATCTTTGGTATCAATTTTTGCAATACGCGAAGGAATGAAAATGGAATGTAGAATTATATTAAAAATGATAAAAATATATACTGAAGAATTCTTACCACACGAATCATTGATCTTTGAAAGTTTTAATAACGATGCACATTAATTTTGAAAATAATGTTTATGCTACATAGGATCGGACGACTCCGATGTTATTAGCGGGAAATTTTGTGTATCTATAAGAAGCTCTTCAGTATTTGGTTTCTCTTCTGGCTCAAATTCATCTATGTCTTCTCCATCAGTTATCACTTGAGGCCCAGTAGATTTATATTGAAATGCAGAATGCGATAAGTCAACCTCTACAGGAAATAACGTCACAGCAGACAACAGATCTCTTGTGTTAGAATAATATTTTCCTAAACCAGCTGCAAATTTTTGCAATTGCCACACAACATCTTGAACGTGTTTATTGTCTAATAACTCAAGTTTTACAAGTACATCTGATCTAAGTTTTGCAAATTTTGCACGAGCTTCTTGCCGACATCTCAACACCAAACGATATTCATAATTTCCGGTTTCCATCCGATAAAGTGGTTCTTGTAGCGCTGCATAACTTTGTTCCTCGTCGTCCAATTCTTTTACTTTCAAGCAATACGACAGATACTCAAATTTTGCATCAGCATACTTGCTAATAGTTAACCGAGTATCTGGAATAGCTTTGTGAAGATACGTGCCCAAGTCATTCAGTATAGGTTTTAAAGCTTTTAACATTGTTACTCCAAACTTTTCCATTTGTCTATGCTGTTCACCAAACTGTCTGAAAGCTTCGCTAGCTCGTGGTTGAGGTTCCCTTACTCCTATTGCAGCAAACGCGTCTCCAAATACTGAAACATACACCAATTTTATATTGTTTAAAAAATAAAATGATTTATTTATGTATACCTTTGTACATCTGTGTTAAGTCAAAAAATGCGTGTAAAGTGGATTGAGCATGAGAAACTAGGCCTCTATATAAATTTTCTGTGCGCTGCAATGCCATTAATCTTTGTACAAGTGCATCATTACAAAGAATAGCACGTGATAATCCGAGTGCATCTGCTGTTGCACTTCCCATTCCCTCAACTAATCTATGTTTCACCTAAAATTGAACTTTTCAGTTGAATACAAATATTGTTATTAAATAATCTGGAAGAAATATATGATTACATATAATATACACCTTTTTTAGAGCTATATCAAGCGTGCGACCTTGTTTAGGATCCGCGTGTAGTTTATTATAATTGATACTGACTTGAGAGTCACACGATTGGATCATTTTTGCAACTTCTACTTTTGTCTTTCCTCTGACCGATGCTCCATTTACTGCCACAAGTTCATCTCCTGATTGCAAAGTGCCATCTACTGCTGCAGGCGTATTATCAAAAATTTGTACAATATACAAGCAAGGGCACAGTGGTGATCCACCTCCAATACTTATGCCTATAAGATTACTACTGTCTTTTTGTATTACGATGTTGCCAGAAGTAATCGTCATACCCCTGTATAAAATAACGCAATAAATCAAACATATTAAACATTATTAAATTGAATATTTACTTTACATACAAACAATAAATCTTTTAAACAGGCACATAACATATCTATAAAAACAAGTAACAGAAAAATAACATACTGCTTTATGCACATATTTACATAGCATTTTCTATAAAGTATAGCGCAAATGAAAATCGCACTACATATAAATAACTTAATACTATTAGTCAAAAATTATTAACATAATGTTAATAATTTCTACTGATAACATTTTGTTAAACAAATAAACCTCGGGTTATTAACTTTAAATATACAAACAAATATACAAGAAATTCTTACCTGAGTATCTTACAATAACTAAACACTTATCAGCATTATAATAAAAAACACTAAATTATATTGCTACAAAATACAACAGATTATAAACAAATAAAATGTTAATATGATTTTAACAGCAAGCACATTATCATTGAAACTTACATTATATTGCCAAGTAGCTGATGCACAGACTGATCCTGAGCGACCAGTTCTACATCTGGTCTATATTTCATTATAATAAAAGAATAAAAAAATGTGAAATTTACAGAAATTTCAAAAATATATCGATCGACAAAAGAGCGAAGAACTTAAATAAAAGATGTAATAATAAAACACAACAATGCGTACATGCGATCTTCCATCATAGTAAACTGTGATTGCACATTAGCCGCTGGCACGGTGGTTAATGGGAAAAAATAATTTTCCTGAAATTTTTCATTAGATTCGCTCAAAGTAATGTTATCTGCGGATAAAATTGTTTGATCCTTCAGACTATTCCACCGCACCGTGGCATACAGACATGCATGTTACAAGAAAAGAAAAGCACATTTAAATTGAAGTTGTAACACATATCGATAATTAAAGTAACAGTTTTATGAAACCAACATCTTATCCTCTTCGAAGAAGAAATCATCATCGAAATCCATGTTTAAGCTTGTAATCTGCAATGTTATAATTAAATAGATACTCTAAATATCACTTTTATTAATAAACAAACAATGAAATTTTCTAATAAATTTAAAAAAACTGTACTCATAATGAAATTTTAATGTAAATGTCATTTTTGTAAATAACATAGATGAAGTAGATATTTATACCTGTTTGTACTACTTAAGGAGAAAAATATTAGGATTATCTGTCAAATTTTCGAAAAATGACAGCTGTACGTGAATTTGAATAGCTTGTTCTAAAGAATGAGTGTAGGGAACAATACTTTGGTCTAGTTTTCATGTACCAGTATCAGTGCATATGTTTTACCCATTTTATGCTGGGTGCGGCCAAATAACATGTAAAAGAATAAGTGTTTTATTTATTATTAAATAAATACACATAATTTTGTTAATTCAAGCTTATCGTCTTGCTAGATAAAATATAGTGAGCTATGAATATGATATATTATTATTTTTCTTTCTATCTGTTTTTGTTGGATTATCTTTGATAAATACTCTACTCTTAAACACTGTAAAAATAGGAAATATTTATTCTACAACTTTATTCAGGCTCGAGGTGACAGTTACTAGTAATTAATTGTTTTAAGTTGGTAGTATTAAACTATTTTCAATCGTTACTATTTAATGCCAACGTTGATATTCCACGTTGTAGAATTGACGACTACGCCGCTGATCTTCCACGTCGCACAGAGCGATGGCACTTGTATTATGCCGAAACGTGTAGTCCAGTGTCGATGCTGAAGTGAGTGGTTTGAAGTGAAATAAATTCGTATTCATAACAGAAAAGTTAATTTCAAAACAACGGAACAAAATGAAGAAATTCAGCATTTTTTTATTATTAATTGTTTCACCAATTATTCTCACTGTGAACAGAGGTAATATATAATAAAGAATGTTACTTAAAATATGGTTTTCCCCAAGTGTGGATTCAGCTAAAGTGAAAATAAAATTTTGACTAATTGATCAGCAAACTTTACATGAAAAAATTAAATTTAAAACAATTAACGAGTTTTAAATCCAATATAGTTAATCTTGTTAAGTAACATTCATTTTGTTAAATAAGCAAACAATTATATTTATAATTTGTATTATAGTTCACGCTCAAGAAGATGAAAATATTGATGACATAGTAGACGTCGAAGGGGAAGATAATTCCGTAATAACAGACGAAGAACCTGAAGAAGAAACAACTAATGCCTCGTCTGATGCTGAAACTACTATATTATTTACTAGACCTGTTTATACCGGATTATCAACATTAGGTACATACACATTTCTTCTGGCATTGCATTGTATTTTGCTCGTTTAAAACATGTAATTTTAATAGCTTATTCACAATTTTCAGAACTACCAGCTGGGAACTTAGTTGAGTTGCTTGTTGGTTTCACCAATAAAGGTGAATCAGATTTTGTTCTTGAATCTTTGGATGCATCTTTTCGTTATGCAATGGATTTTAACTTTTATATTCAGAACTTTTCAACTGTTACATATAACAAGATTGTGAAGCCAAAACATGAGGCAACTTTGGCATATTCATTTATTCCATCAGAGAACCTTGCTGGAAGGCCCTTTGGTTTCAATATTAATCTGAATTACAAAGATGGTGTACGTAATAAATATAATCTTAAGCATAGTTAATTTTTGTCTTTACAAATTAATTTGTTATAATTCGTTTTTGTATAGTGAGAATCTGTAAAGACAAGAATTACACGTAAATTAAAAATATTATGTAATGTTAACTCAAATAATTAATAATGCATATTATTTTACAGAATGGCATCAACTTCAGTGAAGCTGTTTATAATGAAACAGTACAGATTGTAGAATTAGATGATGGCCTTGACGGAGAAACAGTTTTTCTGTACGTATTCCTTGCTGCGTGTGTAATACTGATACTTGTCGGAGGGCAACAACTTCTTTCATCGCTGGGTCGTAAATCTCGATCTTCTACTACTCGTAAAGTACCTATAGAAACGGGTACATCCAATCCTAATAATGTTGATTATGATTGGTTACCAAAAGAAACTTTGAATAGAATTAGTAAGTATTACATTATACAATGCAAAGTATGCCCGCTCTGTTCTCTCTTAATTTCTTTGATGTATGTTATGGTATTATTTATACAATTTTTTTTTACAGATAAATCTCCAAGAACTCCGAAACAGAGTCCTAGGCAACGAAGAGCTAAACGAACAGTTGATTCTGATGACTGAATTGTGTTAATATGTATGTATATATATTATTTAAAACAGATAGGTAGGAAGTACGGTTCCACATTTGTAATAATTTCATAAAAAAAATTTGTAAGTCTTTTTGTCAATGACAAACTAAATGGAGAACAAACGTCTTGTAACTGCTTGTTTCAAACGTTTGAGGTATAAATCTTACATTATAGCTAATAATGAAAAATCGTAAAATAAATTTTATAATTTGTGAATCTATATGATTAAATGCTGTATAATACTATCAGTATGAAAAGACACAAATTAACAAGATGTTTTAATTATTTGCGGTCGAAGTTATTGTATTATTACGATACAATTAACTTATTGCTACTTTATTACATGCAAAAAACATACACAATAGAAACATTTAGTATACATTCGATATTGTTTTTTTATAAAGTAAATTTATATCCCGTAACATTCGACCGCGACGTGTTAAAATATTCTGCTTCAAAGCTTATGTATCATATAAATTTATCATGTATAAAATTCAAACCTTCATTCACTATCACTACAAACGACGTACATTTCTATGCCCGTATTGTAACGAAATTTAAATGGTCGGTTATATTATTTATTAATAACGATCTACGAAATAATGTAATTTCAATAAATCACAATTTTGTACAAAAGTTTCTGTTTGTATTGTTTATACGTTTTAATAAAAATCAAGTGAAATAAATCGTAATGTTGAATCGTAATAGATAGATAGGTTTATTCTGTACCTTGTTCGTGGTGTAATGGATATACGTCGGTAAAAAAATAAATATGCCCGAGCAGTCGAGACTCGAAATGGTACGCTGGTGATGCAAGACGGATTTCAGTTGTTTCAAAAACGAGAAGGAAAGGATTATATTCGCCTTCTTTCTTGATTTCCCGAAGTTGCACAAAATGCCGCGCTCGCGTATGCACGCGCACGTCTGCTTTCCCCACCACTCCGTTGGAGACTAAGGAAGTTCGTCGTTACTAGTGTCGCCGTCGATGCACTCAATTATGTCAAATCTGGCCACACTGATAGTCGCCAAGCAATCGTACTTCAGGACGTTACATTTGTACACTGTCCATAGTGGTTATAACTGATTTTTAAGATTTTTACGTTACTACGTTAAAGATAGAAAAATGTCGGATGTGAGAAATTGGTTTAATTCATTACCAATATTCACGAGATATTGGCTATTATGTACAATTGTATTTACGTTAGTCGGTAGATTCGGACTAGTCAGTCCGAGCTCCATGACACTTTCATACGATCGTTTCGTAAATAATTTCGAAATTTGGAGAGCAGTAACCAGTGTTTTCTTCTATCCCCTCAGTTCTGGAACAGGATTCCATTTCTTAATCAATTGTTACTTTTTGTATAATTATTCACTGAGATTAGAACGAGGGGAGTGCGATGGACGACCCGCAGATTATTGTTTTCTACTTTTATTTAATTGGATGTGCTGTATTATAATAGGACTTATAGGTAAATTCTACTTTCTTATGGACCCCATGGTACTCAGTGTATTATATATTTGGTGTCAGTTGAATAAAGATGCGATTGTTAATTTCTGGTTTGGTACGTGCTCTTTTTTTTAGTAACAAAATTACCATATATTTATATTTATAACCAATTTTCTAAATTGTATGTTCTGATAAACCAACAGGTACACAATTTAAAGCCATGTACATACCATGGATACTGTTTGCATTTAATTTCATTATTTTTGGAGATGGAATGATGGAACTGTTTGGTATTCTAGTGGGACATCTTTATATATTTTTAAAGTTTAAGTATCCTCAAGAATTTGGTGGCCCTGAGCTATTGAATACTCCAAAAATTCTTGAATCTTATTTTCCGCCTCAAAGAGGTAGGTTTGGTTATAGAGCTCCTACACAAAGAGTACAGCCTGCAAGAAACATGTTTGGTACACATAATTGGGGACATGGGAACGTTTTGGGACAATAAATTGATAATTCTAAGAAAAATAACATCTGGTGTTATAATTCTCTCAAATACTATTATCATTACATTTATTAAATAATTTATGACAAGATGTCAAAATTAATTTCATTTTATCAATGTATCTTACAAGATTTGTGAACAATAAATTGATTTGTTACTTTATGCAAGAATTTAAGATACATATATATCTTAATTTATATATATATATATGTATATCAAGGTTCCCTGTATAACAAATTTTGTTAATTTGTAAAAAAACTATGAATGTATCTGTAATTTTATAATTAAAGTTTGTATTATATAAACAAAAAGTAAATTAATATATAAGGAATTAGCAAGTATAAGACAAATCATAATTCTAGAACTATTCATTTGACGAACAGTTTAAAAATATAAAATAAACTCGGTTCGTTTAGTGATTCATAGATTCTCATACTCTAGATCGAGTGATAGATGATAATAAAATTCTATATTAATGTTAAATAATCTATGTTTAATCACATGTATACAACTTTGTTTAAAGCAGAAACTCCTTGATTTCACCGATGTGTAAATCTAATCATTATGAACTGCATTTCTGTCATATGTTTTACATATATGTACATCTAATTATTTGTTAGATAAGACGTTAAAGTATATTAAATACATGTGTATTTATTTAACTACACATAAAAATATTTATTTAATAAATTTCTTTATGTAACGAAGAGGGAAAATGTATATAAAAGTATAATGCTTGCGATTTTAAAACTGTTTTATTTTTGTGTCCATATTCAAAATTCTGAAACAATGAAATTTACAAAATTCTCAATATTACACTACTATACGTGCATGATATATATTACATGATTTATTATTGAGGTTTTCTCCTCAGTAGCAATATTCCTGATTGTGTATAACAATACTACAAAGTAATGTTATAACTGATCAGGTGGATGGGATGCTAACCCCTACCAAGAGCTCAAAGCGAACATTTTTCATCATAATACGACTTTTTGCAACACCATATTAAATTAGAAGTGTAAAATATTATGACGAAAAGTTAGCAATGCGCTCTAGACTTACCGCATCACTCGTCAGGAACTTGTAACTCTCCAGCATTGATATCATCAATGAGATCGTGTGGTGGTCTACCTTCTACTGTGCAACCAACTGAATGACAACTTCCTAATATCTCCTTAACAGTACCGCTAAGGTATTTTGACATGGATCTAGGCCTCATTGTTTGAGCAATGACAAGAATATCATCAAATGATAAATTTCCGCTGTGCTTAATATTTTTTTGTCTTTTACGATCTCTTGGAGGCTCTTTAAGTGCCTTAATAATCAAAGAAGCAGCGGATGGAACTACTGAAATAGTAGCTTGTCTATTTTGAATTGTTAGCTGCACAGTAATCTTCAAACCTTTCCAGTCACTGGTCGCTTTAGCGATGTCATCACCAACTTTTTTTGGAGACTGAAAATATCATACGTGTTATTAATATTTAATCATTAAGTGCCAAGAAGCTCTATTAAGTTACTGCCATTCCATGTCAATAACAACCAAATTTTCGTTATATAAATTATTTAAATTCGTGTTTATGAACATATAGAGAGCTTTTTGACATTTTGTATAAACTAAATTAGATTTCCTAATATGCTGCTAGTGCGATTGGTTTGGTATTTTTCGACATGACACAAAAGAAACACTATCGTGCCGCGTGTCACCACTCTGCATGGTTTACAAAATTACCCTCGTTCTTTAAACGGTTAATTTAAACTTACCAAACCAAGAGGACCAATTTTTGGAGCCAGGGATGAAGTTGCACCTACTTCACCTCCAACGCATCGTAAGAAAACTATAAAAATGTACAAATAAATTGAAACCAAATTTTATATTATTACAAAACATTTCGAAAATTGTAAATTCGAAAAAATACCTTTCTTAACTTCATTAGGATCAAATTTAGGAGGCATTTTAACTGTTTGTGAGTAAAAATTTAAAAAATTAGATACAGATGGAACACGATTCGGTATCCGATGCTGCAAACAACGTGTTCATCCACCACACACCGTTTTGAAAAAGACTGAAAAGGTTATGAACAACAGATGTGTAGCTATATAGCCAGTATAGCATGAAGTAACATGAACTATATAATGTAAGAATAGATTTTCCTACACTTATTATAGCGATTGAAGCCTATTGGTCAGCATCACAAGGCTTCGAATGATCAACATTTGCAGACTGTGGATTAGCATAAAATTTCTATTTTTCCCAGCTTGTTATTAATGTTATTAATTATACAAAATTTTAAATCTTAATAATATTAAACGAAATATATCTATAACTATTCTGAATTAAATCTATTACGAATTGCGATGCGACTTTAATGAATTATCTCTAGGTGTTAGTAAATTGTTTATAATTGCATTTTTTTATAAGAATATTAAATACAGACAAATTTATATAGAACTTATTTTATTAATGATATATTTTTTCTATGATTTCCATTTTGTTCTATGATCTTTTGAGTAATAAATATTTCTTTACAATAAAACTCTATTTTATTAACAAATTGAGATACGTATATATTTATTTTTTGGTTGTTTGAATGATTTTCCATTAATAGAATTTTTCAATGTACGAAATAAGTAAAAATCAGATCAGACAAAGTTTATTTGAATACAATGATTGAAGTAAAACGTCTCAACAAAGTTGCACTAATTTTTGTCCCGTCGTTAAACATACACAGATATATGAAGTCGTACTTGATATAATAAAAGAATTTAAAAAATGTAAATATTGCAGAACTACTGAAAGAACATTTTAATTTTATAGCAATAAATGTGACGCGTTATGTATAGGTTAGATATTTCGAGTAAACAAACAATAAAGAATCCATATTTAATATAATATTACAAATTTTAAATATACATTCAAATATGGTCTTTTAATATACAAAACTTTCACACAATAATCTTAATTTATAACATCGAAGTTGTTTCTACTTCACCAGTAACAGCAATAGCTTCAATTTCAATCTGTGCCCCCTACAATATTTTATAATTAGTATTAATAGATTCAGTTTCAAAGTACATACAATATATTATTTCATACCATAGGTAACTTTCCAACTTGATATGTTGATCGGGCTGGGTAGTTTTCCGTGAAAACTATACAAAAAATTATATAAATATCAAACATAGTGTGTCATTATTTTAAAATGCAGTACAATTAATTTTAATCTTACATTCTTTGTAAACTTCATTTATACCAGCGAAATCATTGATATTGTTTAACAAAATTGTTGTCTTGACCACTGCAAAAAATTCGTAAAAGAAAACATTATGATTTATCATTTATAGCCTATACAAACAATATTTATTCAGAGTATGATTTTTAATAAATGAATTGATTTGCATAAATTATAGTCAGGATCAGATTTATGTGAAAACAAATAATGCATCGCGTATGAACGCCCGTTGCTAGGGTCGTTTCGAAAAAGAGAACAAATTTTTTTTAATGAACAAAGAAGACTATTATCACATCTGCGTGTATGCGCAGCTTTCGAACTTGATAACTCAGGTTTCTTTTATTATTAATTTGTAGTATAAGTTAGGAAGTAACTCTACACTGGCCTGATCCCGCTTATAGTTATAATCTTTATGTTTTAATAATATGCGACCTTTATCATAACCGGATCCAGCTTCTTTCAAAATATGTCCCATATTTATAAGAGCTTGGCGCGCTTCAGCAGCAGCACCTCCTTCGACGAGTTTCTGACTTTTAATATCCATACCGAGAACTCCGGATAAATACACAGTACGATCGACAAGTACTGCTTGGCTGTTGAAACAAATTTTTGTCCATTTTAATAATCGATGCCCTATTTTACACAAATCCAATAATTCAAACTATATTTGCAAATGATAATAATTCAAAAATTAAATTATATTTCTTACTTGTATGGGCCAACGGGTTTTGGGCTCAGTGAAGACGTTATTATTTTTCGCATGATTTTATGCGACGCCATGATTACCTTCAGTTAGGTTGAAATGTATTCACTGTATAGTTTTAACAGAACTGTTCAGTAATTATGCGTAAATTTCTTTATATACCCACATTTAGTGTCAGATGACCTTTAACTTCTTATCAGTGCACTACTTATCGTAGATAACTTATCTAATTTAACCTTTTATAACAAAATATTTTCTATAGTTTCTATACATAAATTTTTAATTTGTTTCGTATGTATATCAGCATTATTTTCAAAATCGTAGTTAATTAATCTTGAAAATCATATACCTTGCATAATATAATGGATCTGTTAAAAATCCCTACTGTTGTTTCAACCTTTAGCGTTGAAAATATTATTCAAATGAAAAAATCATTCAATTATTTAAAGTTCAAAGACAAATTACATTATCAAAAATTTATGCTGCGCTTCTTCATTTATAACTACAGCTTTTCCGAACATTATCAACAATTTACAGGTAGCACAACCAAAATTGAGGATCTCATATTTTCTTAAATTCTTAACAACTACTTAATTTTATACATAAGAATAAAGATTTATAACAAATCTACCAACCATGTTTCAGTTAAATACATACAAAAATGAAATTATATACAAAGTATTTATTTCGTTATTTTGCATTATTTTGTTACAAGGAAATGATTTACCGTTCCTTGTACATACTGTGGATCTTTATATCGCCTTGAACTATTAAATTCTGAACACTTTCATTAATTAAAGACTAAAATTTTATCAATTTATAAAACTACTTTATTAAAATTTCATGATCAAAGGAAGTTATTTTCAGATAAGGCATTCAATTTTCAAAAAGGAATAAATTATTCAAAATAGTGTTAATGCTTGATAGTCAAGGCATAAAATTTACTTACTTTTATAGTTTAATGTACATGAAATATAAAAAAAAGAACAAAAGTCTTGTATATTAAATTTTACTTATTAAACCGTTGAGAACGAGGTTTTTACAGCACAGTCATTCCTTTTATTATAATATATATATATTTATATATATATATGGGTGTGTGTGTTTGTGTGTTTATATATGTATGTACTTATGTACGTATAGAGCGTTTGCACACCTTTTGCAGTCCTTTCTAAGCACAACAAATATTACAGTATGTTTTATTGATGACAATGTCTATGAATCAAGAATGATTTGTAACGGGCTTGCAAAATTTCAGTGAGCTGCGTTATTACGTCGACCGCGTCTCTTGCGACTTCCACCAGTAGGACGGTTTGAAGAGGCCCATTGTTCATAAAAACGTTCCGCTTCTAACCATTCTTGATATTTATACCACCATTCTTCCCACTTTATATAATCATCTAAAGTGAGGTGTCGAAGATATCCCCTCGCTTTATAGTATTCATATCTAACACGGACATCGTCCCAACATTCCAGACCCCTTGGCCCTTGTGCTAAAAGCGATTCAGGATAATGCCCCGGCGGTGGAGAATCATATCCTAATCTTGCAATCCTTTCTTCACCCTCTATCACAACTTTCATTGCATTTTCTCCATCTTTTGTGATACGCATGTTTTCCATATCTCGACGATCTACACTCCATTGTGCCATTTTACCAAAGCTGAAAAACAATATTTTATAATACCGCTCCTTTATTAGAAAGATTTCTCACGTTTAAAATTTTATAATCAACGAGCGTGTTACAAATCATACCGTTCTGATAATGTCATCCTAGGTGGACCAACGTGCGATGTAGTGGAAGAACTATCACTGTCTTCGCTCGGTGAGGATTCAGGTGGAGGCCTAATCATTTGAGTTGCTCCGTGACTTGAATGAGTTTTTTCTACCTTTACAGGTTTACGCATCTGCACAAGGTCAATAGTTACACAGTGGAAACAAAAGACATATAATAATAATAATAAAAAGAGGATGTGAAACATAAGTGAAAATTATGCCATTATACTAAAGAACCACAATTTATAATTATCTACATGAACAAAGTATGTTTTACCAATGGTATTGGATCTGGGACTCGTGGATCTTCTGGTATTCTAGTATGATGCTTTTCTTTGCGTCGAACTTTGGCTTCTTTTTCTTTAATTGTTTTGTAGTCCTTTTGATGACGCTGTGGAGGTTGTGGTGCTGGTGGAGGTGTGCGTGGACGTGGTAAAGGAGGCGACCGTGGTCTAGTACGAGTTGGTATTACTCGTGAACTTGACGGTACTACTTCTTTTGGATGTGCTCGACTTCGAACTGGTGTTAGTGATCTTGAACGCGACCGAGAAGGCTGAGCAATGCGCCGTCGTTCTTTTGGCGAACAAACGCTGCATGATCGATCAGAACAAGTACTGCCAGTACTTGGACTGCGTGCAGGTCTTCCTCTGGTATGTGATCTTTCACGCGGTGAACGTGGACTTCTAGTTCGAGGACTACGCGGTCTTGGGCTGTGCGGACTCCTAGGTCTAGGGCTTCTTGGGCTGCGAGGGTGTCCTCTGCTAGGTTCTCCACTTGCTGTGCCTCCAACATATAACTCTTTATATCCGCTGTGTCTCCATCTGTTCGGGTCTCGCTCCTCTACCTCCAAAAGCTTCTTATTCCAATAACTTGATTGAGACTCACGAGCTTTCCGCATTACACTATCTAATTCTCTTCTCTTCCCTGAATTTTCACCATGTGGCCTGGGCTGTGATACATTGGTATCCATCCGTAACTTACTAGAGCTGCTACCACTACCGCTACCTCCTCTTCTTCTGTCATAGTCCCGTGACATTCCTGAAACGCATAAAATATACATAAATCTGTGGCATTTTACAACATAATTTCTTTAAACTTGTAACGGTTACTAACCGCTTAATATAAGAATTTAGTATTAAAATATTTACCTTACAGAGGTGTTACAATGGAAGACACTGGAGGAGCGAAAACTGGTGATCCAATCTCCTGCGAGAGCAGTGAACACGTTAATTCTCAAAACATGATAGAATGGCCATTAAGATGATAATACGTTGGATTAATCGCCATGAGATCGCTAGAAGAACCAGTACCACTCGTCCTTTGGGTCGACTGGCCTAAGTTAAAAATTCTATATGTCACAAATAGGTATCATCTGTAGTGGTCAAGCAGCGGAAAAGTTAGTATTCCCGATCAAAAGCGTTTCTCAGAATTTGAATTCGCGAAATCCATATGTGGTACTGGACATCACCCGTCGCGATGCCTTACCATCGCCATTCTCCGCATGTCCAGAATTGTAGTACGCTTCGATCCACGATCCATAAATGTTGGTCGCGTGGACTTTCAATGAGTCGAACCAAATTCAGAGATCGCCTTTCAAAGGCGCCGCGCACGCGAAAACCGAAGTTTTGTCGTGTCCAAGTTTTCGCGCTTTTTATCGAACCGAATACGGACAGGGTGTGAAGTTTATCTCGAGGCATTACCCGGGTAATGCCATACCGGCGGCACTCACGTAGCCGATTGCGATACACGTTAAAACCGCTCGTCAATGTTACACCGATAGTACACACAGGCGAGAAAATTCAATGAACATCGCGGCAAAGCTTTTTGTCGGTATTTCGCGACATCCTCCGGGGGATGTCGTACGCGGAACGTCACCTTTTCGGAATGCGTCGGAGGATATCTTGTCGCGTTAGACTCATAGCCACACCGAAACGCGACACGGAATTTGTGGCTCGAGTAACGGGTACGTCAAGGTCACGTAAAGGCCCGACTACGCGATTTCGCGACCGGCGAAACTGTATTTCCCGCGACACCATTTCAGATATTACCCGGGTAACACCTTACTGGTGTCGTAACGGAGACCTCGAGAATCGCGGAATATCTCAAGTACTGCTTGAGGAGATAGAGAGAAAGAGAGAGAGAGTCCGAACCGGTATGTACGCGTATAGCCTCCTTCGCTCCTTTCTTTCATTAAAAGCGAAGGTCGGCTCTTCTCGCTTTTTCCATTTGCTGGTACACACCTTTGCACTATATTTTTTTTAACGTGGCTTCACAAAACTTTTACTCGACAGTATGCGAATAGATCTAACTCTGGCAGCGCTGGCTGCTACTCGTACCGAAGCGTCAGAGGCGTTCATTCGCTAGCACCCGACGGTCACTTTGAAAATCAATTGCCCACCCAGTGAGCGCTACTCGTGGAATTTCACGACATTCACCGGGCTCAAGAACCTTTCGAGGTAACGACACTCACTTTTCTCACCGCGGCAACTCGTAAACTTGCATTTTCTGGCACGAATCTCGATGAATCACTTCCGCGTGACGTTCTACGAATGGAGATTGTTAAGAAGACTTTTCTTCAAGAGCCGCACCAAATGCAAGAGGATGCATTCCAAACAAGGTGAACAGCAGATGTCGCTATCATCACTTGGCACTTCATAAATACTTTACATTATCTATGAATGATTTTTATTTCAAAGTTTTTTTATAATAATATTATACATCATATTTAGAAAACAGTTTATATTGTTTATATTATTACGTTTTTATTTCAATGATAGTGTTTACTTATTTTTTTCGACATCTAATATGGACGACTGAGAGTGAACGAAATACGATTGTACTGCGCATGTATCTATGCTTTTTATTGGCTGATTAATTCACCCTAATTCGTCCACGTACCAATAGTTATAAAATAATTACAAACGTGTTTTCTCAGTGTCTTTTTAAAATCAAAGAATTTAAAAGACAATGGTAATCGCTATGGGATTTGAGGGTAGCGCGAATAAATTAGGCGTTGGAATTATTCAAGATCAGACTGTGTTGTCAAATGTACGACATACCTATATTACACCACCAGGCGAAGGTAAAGACATAACCTTTTACGTTTGTATTTCTTGTTTGCTAAGATTTAAGAAGTTAAACATTAAATATTTTAAAGTTTCTTTTGAAAAGGATTTCTACCTCGTGAAACTGCACAACATCACAGAAAACATATCCTTGAAATTTTGCAAAAAGCATTGGACGACGCTAAAATAACATTAAAAGATGTAGATGTGGTGTGTTATACAAAAGGACCAGGAATGGGAGCACCGTTAATAGTTGCCGCATTGGTAGCCAGAACAGTTGCTCAGTTATACGACAAACCAATTGTCGCTGTAAATCATTGTATCGGGCATATAGAAATGGGACGTTTGATCACAGGAAGTATAAATCCTACTGTTTTATACGTTTCTGGTGGAAACACGCAAGTTATTGCGTACTCTCTGCAAAAGTATCGAATCTTTGGTGAAACAATAGATATTGCTGTTGGAAATTGTTTGGATCGTTTTGCAAGACTGTTAAAACTTTCAAATGATCCTAGCCCCGGTTATAATATAGAACAGTTAGCAAAGAAGTAAGTTGTTTCAACATTATAAGATTCATTTATATATGTTAATTATATTTTATATACAATATAATTTTATATACAATATAATTTTATATACGTAAAGAGGAAAAAAATTGGCTCCATTACCCTATGTAGTAAAAGGAATGGATGTATCTTTTTCTGGTATTTTAAGCCACATTGAAGAACATCTTTCTTCTTGGATCGACTTAAAAGAATTTACTCCGGAAGATTTATGTTTCTCTTTACAAGAAACAATATTTGCTATGCTTATTGAAATTACAGGTATTGTTGCATACTATACAAATTCGAAATATGAATGTAAAATGATTTTACATATCTAATTTAGTAACATTGCAGAACGTGCAATGGCCCATGTGAACTCGTCCGAGGTATTAATTGTTGGTGGTGTAGGATGCAACGTAAGATTGCAGAATATGATGGAAATCATGTGCAAAGAGAGGAATGCAACGCTTCATGCTACAGACGAACGATTCTGTATAGATAATGGTGTAATGATTGCTGTGGCAGGATTACTTCAATATAAGAGCAGCGGACATACTTCCTGGACACAAACAACTTGTGTACAGAGGTATCGGACAGACGATGTTCATATTTCTTGGAGAGAATAAAATAATTCCAAAGACATTAATTCTTTATTACAATATATTTATAAATCACTTTGAAGCTTTAGTAGGACAATATATGTTTCATAAAATATTTTTACAAAATTGTTGGATTTTCTTTTATTAACACTGTTAACTGTTTCGCGCACAGTAATACGACTAGCCCTATACTATGGAGATAAATAACGTGGTAAGAAAGATATACGAAGTGGAAGGTGAATGGACTATACATTATGTTTAAATTTTCAATAAAAGAAAGGAAAACTTTGTTTTAGCGCTGTATAGCACGTTTGTAGTATTAATTTGTAGGTGTACAATGCGGTGTTGTACATAAGAGTAGATCTACCCGAACGAATCGATGGAACGGTTGGCATCGATTTGAACGGACTGCGTGGTTCCTTGCTTATTATAACGGTGTATATAGCTATATATACATGCATGCGCACGCGCAAATATCGTATAGATTCAAAATTGATATCGAACTATCAGTTTGTGAAAAGAGGAAAGCGAATAGTATAGGTGGAGGTCAAGTTTTCATCACACGAACGATAGATAGGGTAGTTTTCAGGAATCGTTGACGCAGGCGCATATGTGGCCGTAGTCCAAATAATACCTCTGTCGGCGACAGCAGCAGTTATTATAGTAGTAGAATTCGGATCGTCATTGCTACCGGATACACAATCGGCACCGTTAGTAGTCATCAGTTTCGTTTCGAATGACACGGATATCTTAACATAAAAAGACTGTTTCAAAATTCTATTTTGATATTAACGGGCTGCGTATTAAGCTGTACAGCATACCATACTAAATGTTTATTTTATATTGTTTTGTTTGCAAATGTTTCTGAAGATAGAAAAACGTGAAATTCGTCTCGTTTCCCATTGCATTTAAACGTACAACTATGTTACACTAGCCATTTCCTAATCGATAGACGCGCGAACGTCGATTGCAGCGCTTGGTGCGAAACAAGTGGCAGTACGGTACCATCGTCACTGTTCGTCACCGATCGTCACTACTCGTCACGGTGCATTATTCGTCGCGGTAGCCACGGCAAGATGTGGCGCTACATCATGGTGCACAACGTCTTGTCTTCTGGAACAAAAGGTGTCCGTGCTTAAAGCAGAGGTAAGTCGCGAAAAATTGTGTGCGGCTGGTTTGATTCTACTACCTTACATCTATTTCCGTATAGTAGCTACTTCATTATAGCATCATACCGGCACGCGTCAAATACTGTCCCCGAATACGCGCGTACAGACCCAGATAACTTGAATCTCTCAGCTGCTCGCTCTTGAAAGTGTCAAAATGTTGAAGTCTGTGCTTTGGTTTAATTTTCACATAAAAATTTTTACTATTATTTACTAATCGTGACTAATCTATTAATACGAATGTCAGACGTTTCACGATAAGATACGATTGTGTTAATGATTCGTAAAGATTCGACAGTGATTCTGTGTGAGTTGTTTGTTTGTGACATCAAGATCGGTGATTAAATAATTTTTGTATGCCAATTGCTGGCATACATAGCATTCGACTTTGGAAACTGCATAACGTCATTTTTTTTGTATATTTGAAAACGTAAACCTGTGTTACTTAAATCGAAGACTATTTATTATACACAGAGCCACGGAGAATTGGTGATTTTTATTGGGTAACGTTTTTCATTATTATGCGATGTTTAATTTATATATTACGAGTACCAAAGTTTGATAGTAACAGGATACGTGTAATAAGTATTGTTTTTCTGTTCATCTAGATAACAATGAATAAGATTGGACTGGGAATGTGTTTTAAATTTTATTTGTGAGAGCGTAACATATTTGGAAATGCAAGCTGTAAATATATAGTCGTTCTTTGCTACTGTCCGGTAACGCTCATCATCCATCTTTGCTACTGTTGCCCGCGACGATATGAATATCGTCGTAAAGCAATTCGTTATGGTAACACGTCTCGTATCAGGCACCGTTTCACGTTTCGAAATTGTTGCCCCTGTATTTTTCATAATTTATGCTCGGTTCGGACCACGCCGGGGATTTGGATCCAGAGCGACGTTATTAAAAGCAAAGAATTTGAAACTGGCGTATCTTACGACACTTCGGGAATATTTTTGTTAGCCATACAACATCGTATTGACGCGTAGCCAAAACCCCAGCCTCTGTGCATCGAAACAATGCTCGGAACAACACGCATTTAAATAATACCACATCGAAAATGCACGGAACGTTCAGTTTTGCGTTCGACGTCGCGTTTAGATTTTCGTTACGATCTACCTAACCTCCGACTTGTCGAACGACGGTCGGTGGCTGACGATAATAACAAGGGATAATAATTCAATCGATAACGAAGAACATTGGGTATAACGAGCACGGAGCTACCCCGGGATGTAAGAGGGAGAGCTGGTCTGGAATTATGCCACGAATAAATGCCATGTAGTGACATTTAAGCTTGTTCTTGAAAATATCACGTGACTTGGGAATTAATATTTGGCGTTTTCATTGTTATTGCAGGGAACGATGATATCTCGAGTTCTCGACGTTTCGATATTACGCATGTAAAATCGTTAGTTTGCGCGGTGGGCCTTTTACGACCCACATGTCGTTGTCGAGTTGCCACGGAAAGTGCAGTCTTAACGGAGGATGGCCGAAAGTGAGAAATTCCTTTTAGATCGAAGCGTGGAGCTATCGAGCTGCACTTCGCGGTGTAGGTATCTAGATCAATTCAATTTGTATCTCTTCTTTGTTGTTCGTTCGTGACGAATATCTCGGGCAACGTCAGCGTGCAACTTGGTGCGCATTGTCGCGTGTGCTGCTTTCGATATCGTGTGAAATTTTGTTTTTATGTTTCGTTTAGAGCATCTAAGAAAAGTCAAACGGTCAGTCAAAGATCGGAATGTTCCGTTCCGCGCAGTTGTTTCCGCCCACACGGATCGATCTGCGCAAAGTAGATACCGGACTGTACTCGAATAGAGCTTCCAGTATTGGTACTAAAAGTCGTGTAAAGTTGTAAGGGTGCGTTGTGTACCTACCTGGCCGTATCCCTTCCACGGATGACATGTGGCTAAATGTATTTGCGACACGCTGGTTATTTAGCTAGGTCATTATGGCAGAAAAAGATCGATTCTCTTTTTCTCTCGTTCTACATCCTTCCGTTTATAGGAGGAAGTTCGTTTATTCGTCGATAGAGAGTTATCCAGACCTGTTCTCGCGTGCGTTTACTTTGCCATTGGTATGCACATACGAGTAAACTTAGAACTGTGCTCGTACGAGGGTCAGTGAGTCGAAGCTGTAGAAAAATTTACGACTAGGTGCTTCTTAGCGAAATTTGTCTAAGTCACGCAAATGCTGCATGTTTATAACACGATCGGCATTATTCACGCGTTAATGGTCGCCGTCGTGACAACTTGTTGTGTTTCAGTGTTTGATTGCTTTCGAAGCTCTCTTTGTTTCCAATAGCTCTGCCTTCCGTTTAATTCTTTACCTAGTTTCGACGTAGCGTTCCGTTAATAATGAATAATCAAAGAGTCACGTTTAAAATATTGTATATTCATCGTCATAAAATTTCCAGCACACGAACGATAAATTATTTCATAGAAAAGAATGATTCATTAAAATAAATATAGCGTACGTTTCGTATAGTTCCTGTTCAAGCTGGGGAGGACTGCCTTTAACAGCAGGAACGACGATGAATCGTTCTCCCTTATTTTGATTGATAACACCCTGCTGTTCCCTATGAACGTGGATTCGGTCGATTCAAGGAATTATTTCCAGAAACGTGATTCAAGACTATCCACGATACGCTCGTGTATTTCGCGACGGAAATAACTTCATAACAGCTTAAGTATAGTATTTTTTATTGCAAACGAAATATCAAATTATTTATATTGGTACTTGTGTTATTTACAGGTTTGGGATATTTTAACAAAAATGCAACGAAATATTTTGTACACGTTTTTGAAATATTTGTTCACATTCAGATGAATAATTGATTGAATTTTTTATGTAGAATGAGCAAGATTTACAGAACTGCATTCAATTAGAATTAATTTTGTCCGTTTTTGGGCAAACGACGGTGCATGAAACAAAAAAGAAAAAGCAAAAACAGAAATTGAATATACTGTTTGCTCGGTCGCGTGCTTTTTAATTTCGAGTTCTTTGAACTTTCCCCAGCGTGATATTGCCCTTTAGTGGAAAATTATTTTTGGATCATCCTTTGTCCTTTTGGCTCTCTGATAAGTATCATTAAAAATTAGCGGTATTGACCGTGGCTGCGTTTTGACCTCCTACTATTTAGTGAGGAGCAAAAATAGTTCTTTCATCACAAATTGGTTCCATCAGCTATTGTAAAAATAGTCATAGTCGGCGTTACATGTCTGCGGGTCTTTCTATTGGGGAATTATTGTATTAATTTTTATCAAAGTATGCATTTATCGTTATCGACAGATATTGAAGATTAATCTATACGAATAATATTACATTTTTACGCTTAAATGTCGGATGTTATTAATTAGTTGCTATTGCAAAGAAACAAAATTACTCTTTTTCCGTAATTTTAATATAGAAACTGTGATCTTTGAACTTGGATGGAGGAAATGTTTCGAATAGCACGCGAAATTAGGTCAACTCCGAGGAACGAGTCAAGTATACAGAACGCAACGGTAACGCTGTTGTTTCTTTCTACCTCGTGTATAATATTATATACGACTGTTACGTAAAATGCATCTACACGCCATTTTACCTGTACGATACCACGTTGCTCTTTTCAATGTGTCGCGTGGAAATTTAAAGAGTTTTCCCATTTTCTTATCATTGCATGGTTAATGGCTATTGTAGCTCGCAGCATTTCGTCAAAGTAATTGCTCTCGTTACATACTGATCTAGACTTTGCACGAAACCACGTGCGATTGAATCAGGACTATCGAGACAGGTGCTTTACGCAGAGAATCTAGGTCAGGGAGTATTAACCTCGCGTATAAATAGTACTAGGCTGTACATAATGTTTGTGGCAAACACTTTTTCTTTTTTTATAAATGCAATCAAACGTTGGCTTACCGTTCGCAATATGCGTGTGGCAATAAAGGAATATGTACTTAGCCGTACGCAACGAAAATAGGAGCGCGGACGATGATATCAGATTTGAAATTTGGCCTCATTATAAGCGCCACACTCCTTTCGGTTGCGTGTAACTAGTACAGATCTTCGTGATTTTTATACGAACAAAATTTCCTTTTAAATCTAAAATTATTATTAATTAAAGTTTTATATTTTTTAAGCGATTCGTTTTTTCTCATGATAAAATAAGAAAATAATTTTCTGGTTCGTTTAGTTGTTACAATTTTTTTCTTTAATATTTATCATTTCGTGCTGTTGATACTTACTTATAAAAAATAAGATGACTATTACCTAAATAGTTGAGCACACATTTTCGTTCTGGGTTTGCCTTTTTTCTTGAATATATAGTGTCTGTCACGCACACAAGTATTCCCATAAAAAGTTTCCATACTGAACTGACTATCACTGTCCGTATCATTAATTTCAGATTCGTTTCCGGAAGTCGTAGCTTTCTGTCACAATTTTGCTCATCGATGCCATGACTGCTAAAACCGAACTGACCGTTGAAATGAGAAAATGAATTCGAACTGCTAGCATTCGGTTTGTGTATAGAACTTCTATCGTAACTTTAAATAAACACCGCACTTCTACACCGATGATTGAGTTCATTGCGATAGCAAGAATCTTACGAAGCAAATGGTTCCATTTCTGCGTAATAAGATCCTGTTTACAGATCCTTGTATTCATAAATAAATTAAAGATCCACAAAATAGGAACCATTATCGCACAAAATTTTTAAATACTATACTGTATCATTAAGGAATGTTCAAAACAAGTAAACTGGCTCCAATTGTGATCCCCTCAGTTGGAAGGAAACGTTCAACTTAGGAATCACTGTCGTTAAGAATCATTATCGTAATCTGATCTATCGCTAACCATAGATGGTCGGAAACCATCGCAACTATACGGAAATACGCGCAGGGTAGGTGATAGATTTATCAACGGCACTAATCTCATAATGCTCGATTTCAGATTATGGCGCGGTTCAACCGGGCCAATGCAAAAGGACAGACGTAGGTACGGATGAAGCGCAAGAAGGGTAACGAGGACGAGGAGGAGGCGGAAGACGAAGAGGAAGAAGAAGAAGGGCACGAAACAGAATACGTAAACTATCGTGGAAACGGCGTAGAGGTGGACAGACTCGTGGCGCGGTCGTCGCGGACGGTTGATACCTTTGATGCTGAACAAAAAGAGGTTCGAGGACGTGTCAACACTGGCGGACGGGGAACGTAATGGGAGCGCCGTGGTCGCGGGCCCGGTGCTATCGTCGTCGTCGTCGTGCACGGTGCCCTACATCGGCACCGACCATGGCTTCGTGTTCGAGGGTGGCGGCACGACGACGTTGCAGCGGGCCGGTGCAGCCGGTACATCGGTTGCTACTAGCTGCACCGGTAGCGGAGGAGGAGGAGGAGGATCCCTTGGTGTCCTTATGGGGTCAGGAAGCGGAGGAGGCATAGTAGGGTCGGGGATTATTATGGGCGGTGGACTGACGGGAGCAGGGATCGCCGTTGTCGGCGGAGGAAGAAGTGGCGGAGGCGGCGGCGGCGGTATGAACAAGGAAGTTCGGTACGCTCCGTTCTCGTCGTCCGTGGGACCTGCCGGTTCCGTGGCGCCGGTGAACCTGATGCCGCCGCCTTTGCCGCCGCCTTTGCCACCGCCGCCGCCATTGCCGCCGCCGCCGCCTCTGCCGCTGCAGATGCAGCAGCAGCGCGCCTTCTCGAGGTCGATGACATCCTTACCGCCGGAACCGTTCATGATCATGAGGTCGAAGGCCCTGAACCGTCGGGTCTCGATCAACGTCGGCGGCGTCAAGCACGAGGTGCTCTGGCGCACCCTCGAGAGGCTGCCCCACACGCGTCTAGGCCGTCTGAAGGACTGCAACACCCACGAGGCGATCACCGAGCTATGCGACGACTACTCCTTAATAGACAACGAGTACTTCTTCGATCGTCACCCGAAATCCTTCAGCTCCATATTGAATTTCTATCGTACCGGGAAGCTGCATCTCGTTGACGAGATGTGCGTGCTGGCGTTCAGCGACGACCTCGAGTATTGGGGCGTCGACGAGCTCTATCTGGAGAGCTGTTGCCAGCACAAGTACCATCAGAGAAAGGAGCACGTGCACGAGGAGATGCGCAAGGAGGCGGAGTCGCTCAGGCAAAGGGAGGAGGAGGAGTTCGGCGAGGGACAGTGCGCGCAATATCAGAAGTGGCTATGGGACCTCCTGGAGAAGCCGACCACCTCCATCGCCGCAAGGGTGAGTTATTATTGTCAATGGTCACGCGTTTACGGATTACTCGAACCGATCGGGATCGTGTCCCGCGATCGGTTCGGGGATCGGTTTCCCGCAATGAATTCTTGGTGGAGAAAAAAATTGGAATGGCATTCCCGAGATTTGGGCTCCCGGGGCGAGAGGAATTTGAACCGGAGCCAAAAAACTCGAGTTGCCGCAACAACGGTGTGTCGTTCGGCATTGAGGGTCGGCTGTTTGTTGATCGTCTTTTAAATTCTTTCCCTGTTCGCCGTTAAGATCTCTCGATAGGACCACCGAAACCATTCGGGTCTCTTTCTTATTTTATTACGTCGCGATTTGATCCAGGGTTCCCCCCCGACTATGGCACACGCGGACTCCCTGACGGTCCCTGAACTTGTTTTCGATGGTCTTCGAGGTATTCGAACGAACTTAAAAGCGTACTACGGTGCCAGATAATTAGTTACACGTGCTAGAAGTACCTTAATATATCTAAATTATATCGAGGCGAAGGTCCTCGAACTATTCGAACAAACTAAAAAGCACATTACAGTGCCAAATGATTATTCATACATTCTAAAAGTATATTAAAATAGAGAATATGTAGACTAGTATACAGGGTTTTCCACACGCACGAGAAAAGCTATATTTTTAAAACGGTTATAAACACACGGAATAAAAAGAAAATGGTAACTGCATCCTTTTTTTAAATCTCTACAAAAGCATATTGCTCACGCCCCAAACTTAATAATTCAAGAGCTGTATCGCTTTAAAGTTTACCAAACTATTTTCGTGTACTTTATGAATATGTTATGGGATCTATTGGTATTTATAAGAACCTCTCTTGGCGCGAATAATAGCTCGAATCCTTCTTGGCACAATACGAATACATTGTCCGACAGTTTTCAATTTCTCATCTCGATGCCAAATCTTAGTCATTGCTTTTATAAGATTTGTCTTGCCCGCGATGATTTCATTGGCGATTTTGCGTCGTAGAAGATCCCAGACGTTATCGATCATTTTTAACTCTTTGGGGAGTCCGTCCATTTTTAAATGCACTTTTAATACGTGTAACTAATAATTTAATCACTGATATAATGAAATGAAAAAAATACTCCCCGTGGTATTATATTCTTATTAAAAACAATGAAGGAGTTTCCATTGCTGTGGAAGTGTTTGAAAAATATTATGCACTTTAGTTACTTCACTTCTGGTTATTTTACAAACATCCAGTAAATATATTAATGCATTGTTGGAAAGCTTTTCTTAGATTGGTTCCAAAGGTACATATATTACTTTTGGAATCAGGAAACAATCAAAGTTACGTTCGAGCCATTTTTTAAAAGAAAGGTGATCCAACAATGACGATGTGGATGTGTAGAGATTTTTTACATGCAAAAATCAGCATGATATCGTAGAGGAATGCGATGCTTACGGAACGACGACAGGAGATCGTAGATCATCGTGCTTGAAATTCTGTTTTGTTGTAGTTGTCACTTAACAAATTAAGATCTTCGAGTGCGTAATATTTTTTGAAACACTCTAATATATAAAAGAAACAATAATAATTTTGTATCGCAGGGAGTCCGTGGGAAAGTAAAGTTTGAGAAGCACCGATCGAACAAAACGAATCAATTTTTCTCCGTGCATCTAAGAATATTTTAAACTGGCAATTTTTTTGTCCCATTTTCGCCTGGGATCAATAAACGATCAGTTCAGTCGTTGTTCGCGATCGAAATACCTTGATACACGCCGATAAAAAGTCTTGTTCTAGTAAACATCGAAAAATCTGCTCGAATTTTTGTTATTACGCGAGAACTCGTCGATAAATTTTTCTCACTAATCTACTTACAATGTCTCCACGTTTACAGTTTGTGCTGGAGCCTTAATTTGACGAAAGGTATTATTAAGTTGATAGTAGAGCATCGATTCTACGTAGCTCTCATATAGACAAGAATGTAGTGAGAACGTTTGCGACGTATGTGATTTTTAATATAATCTCACTGTAGATCCTTAACTAAGATAGCAAGTCAATCAATCGGGTTTGGATCCTGGCTTTTGGTTGTTCAAATAATCGTCGACGAGACCGTCCAACAAAGCGAGAGACCGTTAATCGTTACGCCAACGAAATCGCAAACTAAAGTTCAGTTTTAAACAACAATTCCGTGCCGTTCTAACAATACGTAACGTGCTCGTGCATATTAATGCATCGTCGATAAAATATCAGCCTATCCCATTAACGTACAAACGGATTTCGTTTCCCTTGGACAAAGCCAGATCGAAATCACGTGCGTTGATTCGAGCATAGTTGTCGATATCCATTAATCAGACTCGAATTAGACGAACCAATCATCTCGATGTATAGTATCGATGCATTCCGTTTATTCCATTAATCGAACTTGATTCGTTAGAGTAAGGTGTAAATATGTACATGTGTTCATACATGTACGTGTAAATATATACGGTGCACATATGTATATGTATATGTACAGATAAACGTAGAGACATACATATATATACATATAATAACTACGTAAAACGTAACTGTAAAATAGAGAGAGTTTAATTACTGTGAAATAGAAAATGTTGGATTGATTTCTCAATACCCCCCGGTTGTGTCGATGTCTGTAATGTGTATTTTATTTTTAGGTGGTGTTAACAACGTGTTTACTAATCTAACTGTTACGTAATCCAGCTTCTTTTAGTTCGTAGTGTTAAATTTGTTCGCGTCTAAACAATCGTCCCCCGTTGACTGTGTTGTTGGCCATTTTGATGATAATGGGAGTGCATAATACGCGATTACCAGGTATCACGTAGATTCTTTCTCGACACCGCTCCCTGTGAGATGTCATAGTAACTTCGCTACTAGCGAATTCAATTCGATATCTGCGCCATATTCGCGTGCGAGTGATTTAACCGCTGTTTTGAAAAAAGTCACTAACCGTTGCTAACGCGTGTAAAATAACAGAAACGGTACCGTACATTTGCCGCGACGAATCCGGCGTTGCTCGAAAAGAAATATAATATTTCTACGCAGAAGAAATATAATATTTATTTAAAAGCACGTGGCTTACCGTAGAACTAGAAGTACCAATTTTCTCCACGCGACTTAGACCCGTAGGCTTGTAAGTACCTCCCTGGATATTTCTTTTCGCGTGGACGTTGAATTCGTTAGCGATACTCATGTTAATTGCAATTACATGAGAGAAACTTTTTGAGGCACTCAGGCGGCGCAGTTTCATATACTTGCCATACACACCACAAACAATACACATTGCACACACTGTTGCTCAAAAAAAAATGAAACAACACTATGCGGGGTGAAGTAATAAGCTATGTACCTATAGATTTCCTAATGACACTCCAAAACGTCGTTTAAACTTTTTTTTAAACACTGAAACGTATTAAATCTGAAAACCTTCTCTGTCTGTACCCCTATTCACGTGGCTGGACACTATTCGTAATAATTTTTCATTGCTTTGTCCGACTTACCAGCAACGGTGTACGGCATGCGAAACGCTTCGAATGGGAAAGCCAATTTCGATTTTCGCGGAAGAGTCGCCCTTTGTAAAGCACCCTTTCACCATACGTCCAAACGTTTCCATCGAATGCGTCAATATTACAGAAACTATTGATTTTCCACTATATTTAAACCACGTAAGGGCCGTCGGTCAATAACTGCGGTCACTTCACGGAGTACACGGGGTATAGTCATCGGTAATGTGGACGTTGAGTCTTCTTACGACTCTTAATTTCCAACCCTTAACTATTCGAGACTCACACGGGCCTGATACCGCGAAATTGAAAGGGCACGTACTAGTTAACGCGTAAAGTCGAATGTCATTCAGCGCATACGTCGCTCAAATCAGACAATTAACACTTTTCGACGACGCATGGTATATTTAATAAAATTATTTTCGTACGCACAGCTACGCCCACGTAAGAATATTAATATGTACGTAAATATCGAGGATCAACGTTCGCCCATTTCTTCTTAGAGAAACGTAAGTTTATGTCTTTACAAGATGGCCGTGTTACCGCCAAATTGTGTAGTTTTTTTTAAACGTTGATAAATAGTTTTGCGTCAACTTGCTGCGTATTTCTTACGTATTTTGTTTATACTTGTGGCTTGAGTCTTTTGTAAGATACAACTCTGACAATTGAATTCCTATTGTTCCAGTAGTTTTCTACTTGTATTTGCTTCGCTTGTTGAAAAAAAGAAAAGAAAAAATGACGCGCGCTTTAAAGTGTTAACCAGTATGGCTCTGTTCGAACTGACGAACAAATCAAATACTTCTTCACGCAATACGTGCACGGTGTGTTTATTAGTTAATCTTTTGATACGAGAATTTATACGATAATAAGACCGTGAGATCGTGAGGGATTTGCGTTTTTAGTACACAAACATACACACGCAAACACGTTCGATCACGCTACGTGGTCTTGATAACATTAATTCAGCACGATTGCGAGAATAAGTGAAAGCTGTGAGTAATATAGCACCGTATAATTGTTATTAAATTATGAAAGAGTGTACAGATGGCTTGTCGTTGCATTGGTATTATTGAACATTGATAACGATTTTGCTGTATTTGCGACGAACGTCGGCCATTGGCTTCCGTCATCCACTTGAATCCACGACCCTCTTCTTTCCCCTGTATCTGGTCGAGCCGACATCACCGAAATATCGCACCACACAGCTTTTTGTAATGAGTTTCATTATTCTGCACAACACGTGTTAACGCACAAGCTTGCCCAAACGCAAGCTAATCATTTCTCACCGTTGCACCATAAATCTATACAATGTACTCACCCACTAACGTTCTCCAAAAGAATAATAATACAAAAAAAAAGAAAAAAAAAAGAAACATATTCGCGGTTTCATTGCATGAGAAAACTGGGACTCTCTTTTCTTCCTCACCGTTTGCTTTTGAATCTGCATTCGATTCGAACACACTCGGAAGCCAAGCGATTATTTCTAAATATATACATATATATATATTTTTTTTTAAACAGAATTAAATTCTAAATTTTTCAAGCGTAACGTACAAGAGGAGTAACAAACTCGACATTTGTAACGCGTGGATAACTTCACTTCCGAGTGTTCGCATTTTTGTGTTACTCGCAGTATAATTATGCGAAAGCGAGCGCCTGTTTCTTTCAGTTTAAACGAACCGGCGATTCTTTGCTAACATTCTCGAAGCGACGAATTGATTTCGCTTTGTAGCGATCGCACTTGGCGTGGCAGAGTAAAACGATCGGAAGAAAGATGAGCTGCGATTTATCGTTAACGGCGGTTCCGGGGGTAATTTCAGATTTAATCGACGGGGTGAATAATAAAGGGAGCGGGGTTTTGAAGGGACTAATGAAATAAATGTGCTAATACGCTTGCCGAACAATGTACAAAATTTGTATATGAGTCGAGCGACGTCGGGCAGACTGCCTTCAAACGACGAGATACTCCTTGGTACAAAACTCTGTTGTATCTATACGATTCTAGAGCAATTTTCAGCGACTCTGTTCACTGCGTTTAGGTCAGTCCTCAGTTTCGCGGAAAATGCTTTAGAACGTTTGTATGAGTCCTGATTTTGCCCTTAATAGCTTTCGATTACTCAACGTCGTTTCGTAGTCGTTTGGAGGTCTCATGATTTTCGAGCGTTTCTTTATCACGTTCGGTCGCGTTTTCGTCGACAAATGGTTCCTTTTTAAATGTTCACTGTCGAGACAACATCGTTGGAGTTTAAATATCGCCAAGATTTTGAACGTGTTCGAGCGTTCCTCTCTTGTTAAAATCCGTATTTTGTATCGTACAGTAACTTGTTGTCGAGGTACAAGCTTCTTTACGTACGCAGATTGTTGCTTGCTTCATGTTGTACATTTTTTCGTACGTGTAAAAAGACTATTTATGCTTTCCACCTATTTTGTCAATGATAAAGGTATGTTGTACGTATTTGGTGTATAATTTTATACATATTTTTGAACGCTTTCGTGCAGTGATAGCTTCTCGTATTTACTCTTTTATGGTAGCCCGTTGATTGCTTGTAAAAGTGCAGGCTAAACTAAAATATAATTATTTTCATTCGTGTGTTGGTATTTGTTGATTCTGAATCTACAGTCGTGACTCCATGTTTACCATTCGGTTCCTTGGTAATACTTTGTTTCGTTGTTTCTGTACTAGAAAAATAATATACGATCGCAGGCTAAATATAAATTTCTGTTGGTCGCTAGAGACTGGTTCTTCGTCTTGATCTACTTCGAGTGTATATCGATTTTCCCGTAGAACGAGGTTAGAAAATTTTCAAGAATTAGCCCCCGATCCGAGTGTGCACGTCCTGTAGTAAAGGTATTATACGAAAGAGGCAAATGATAGAGAGTTAGAAAGGAAGCGGATGTCTTTAATGTTTTAATGGCAGCCGGTAGGGCATCCCGTTAACGAGCGATGACTCCGTTTGACCGGTCGATCCGTCGCTTTTCCAGGTGATAGCTGTGATATCAATACTCTTTATTGTGCTTTCGACGATCGCACTAACTCTCAACACCATTCCTAGTATGCAAGTGAATGATGAGAAGGGGAACTTTCAAGACAATCCGCAGCTCGCGATGGTGGAGGCCGTGTGCATCACATGGTTCACCCTCGAGTACGTCCTTAGGTTCAGTGCCTCGCCGGACAAGTGGAAGTTCTTCAAAGGCGGTCTAAACGTGATCGACCTGCTGGCGATACTCCCTTACTATGTATCCCTGTTCCTGGTCGAGACGAACAAGAACGCGACCGACCAGTTCCAGGACGTGCGCAGGGTAGTGCAGATCTTTCGTATAATGCGGATCCTGAGGATCCTGAAGCTGGCCCGCCACTCGACCGGGCTGCAGAGCCTCGGCTTTACGCTACGTAATTCGTACAAGGAGCTGGGCCTGCTGATGCTCTTCCTGGCGATGGGCGTCCTCATATTCTCGAGTCTCGCCTACTTCGCCGAGAAGGAGGAGCCCGGGACCAAATTCATAAGCATTCCAGAGACCTTCTGGTGGGCGGGCATCACGATGACCACCGTCGGATACGGCGACATCTACCCCACGACCCCGCTCGGCAAGGTGATCGGCAGTGTGTGTTGTATATGTGGTGTCCTGGTAATCGCGTTGCCCATTCCCATTATCGTTAACAACTTCGCCGAGTTCTACAAAAACCAGATGAGACGCGAGAAGGCCCTCAAGAGGCGGGAGGCCCTCGAGAGGGCCAAAAGGGAGGGCAGCATCGTATCGTTTCATCACATCAATCTGAGGGACGCCTTCGCGAAGAGCATGGACCTCATCGATGTCATCGTCGACACCGGTAAGCGACGGACCACGAGGACGATAACAATATCAACTATGCTTTCTTTACGAGGCCAAGGTTCACGCAGGGAAACTCGAACCGTGACTCGAGCTTACCGTTAACGTATCAACTCTACAGAGTGTTCCACTCTAACAAGGAAGCTTTTCAGATGTCCGCCTCCGATTGTTCTCAATTTTCGATATGTTTTAAACAACCGACAAATAAGATATACGTATTTTTTAGGCGGTGAAACGTCCCCCTAAAGTTTCAGCTACAATAGGCTATCTCAAAAACTATCATACATAGAAGAAAACTTCTTAAGGAAAAGTTTCATGGTTTTTTATGAACATATAAATGCTGGTCATCAATTTTGTAAAAAATAATTTGTTTATAACAAAAAATTTCTTTATAACATTATTTAAAAAAAAATCACAATTTACATAGTAACAAAAAAAAACACAATTTCTTTTCTGAATCCATTGATATATCACATAGTATGTTTGCCTCTTACAATTTTGCGTATTGCAATATTATACAGGGTGTCTCACCCGACTTTGACATCTTGATTTTCTCGCTATTGTTACTCGTAACAAAAAATGTTTCAGCGGGGGCTTTTATGGTATCGAGTGGAGCATATTCCGATGTTATTAGTTTCTTCGTGAGTGGACGCGTAAAGGTCATATAAAGGTCACCTTTGTTTTTTTAAATGGAACGAGGTATTTTTTAATACGTCGATCGATTCAGCTGGACAATCGTTATAAAAAAGTACTAACTATGTAACGTCGAAAAATTAGTAGTTCAGGAGATATTTCAATTTTAAATTGTGATTTTTTTAAAAATGTTATAAATAAATTATTTCTTACAAAATTGATGACCAGCATTTATATGTAAAAAACCATGAAACTTTTCCTTAAGAAGTTTTCTTCTATCTATGATAGTTTTTGAGATAGAAATATTTTTATATTAGATATAAAAAAATACGTATATCTTATTTTTCGGCCCTTTAAAACATATCGAAAATTCAGAACAATCGGAGGCGGACACCTAAGAAACCTTCCTTGTAAGAAAAATTTTAATGGGAGATTTTCGTCTTACTTTGGCCTCTGGAATCTCCCATTAAAATTCCTCTCAGAGGTGGCCGAACACCCTGTATACCTAGAGATCTAGATCGGTTTTTATCTTGAGCTTCTTGAGGTTTTCAGATCTAATATTTAACGAAAACGTCGAAATACAATTTTCCATTATAACAGCAAACTTTCGACAAGGAAAGATACTATATACATTTGTATTTCGCGTAGAGTTGCAAAGAATTATAGATGAACCGATCGAAGTAGTTTTCAGTTAGAACGAAAGTAGAGTTTAGAGTTTGCACTTCAGTTAAGAAGGTTCGATCGCACTTTGGGGATTCTACCGCAGCTCATTGACGTCTTCTCACCATTTCGTATCGTGAACTTACTAACATTATTGCTTGGACAATTATAGTCTTACCATAATCAACGTTAACAATTTATCAACCCTGACGCAAGAATGATACATTTATCAGTTCTGGCGCAGGGGACAAGGTAATACGCGACCACACATACAAAACACCGCTTCACTCTAATCGACTTTCTCATTAATGCAACTGCACCGTATTCATAAGCACACCAGTCCTGGCGGGAACGAGACCGAAAATACCGTCGTTCACGGCTAACTCACACCAAAACCTCCGTTATTCGAACTGATAAAAAGACGCAATGGAAATTTTCACATAACTAATCGAAAATTCAATGTTTGGGATAAATACTTGCGTGCAATGTTTATCACAGTATCTGACACGTTTCTCTTTTTAGAAACAATACAATAAATCACTGTGGTTTTAGTGATGCTTCTGCATACTTAATACTATACTTTACAATATAGTGAAACAGACTATATTTTTAAATGTGAATTTTCGATTATATTTAAATTAGAACTTAATATCGAAGGTTTTGCTGTGCGTTCGTGGGTTCTCGTAACGCAACAGGAATCGCCGCCATTGTGATCGTGCTCCATCCGATACGTGTTTCCAGTAGAGTATTTCGAAATGAATCCCGCTAATCCTGCGTCAAGGTTGATGAATTGGTGGCATAATGAAAAACACAATGGATACCGAGCCTGTTTTCAGGTCACGATATGTCCGGCGTGGATGGTAACAGCAAGGAGGGGGAATCCGTGTACGGACGCAGCCCTGCCCAGACCAGGTCAGGCTGTTATCCTAGCTATGAGCATTACGGTCCCTCGTGGCGTCGTTGCGGTGCCTCGTCTTCCTGCTGCTTCCTCGGTCTACCTAACGAACAACCTACCACGCCGGACAGACCGAAATCTAACTTTGAAACTAACGATCTCCCCCATACTTGGAACTACCTACCGGCACACTTGCCCGTGATTAAACAACACCCATTCTATATCAAGGTTCAAGGCAAGAAAAACTAACTGCACGCTCCTAATTCACGAATAATGTCCGACGTGGATGGTAACGAGTTATCAGTGTTTTCGCTTTGGCTACTTTCCTGATACAGCTAAGGACGCTGCCAACCACGCCGGACTAAAGATTAGCTTCATTAAACGATGATTGATAACGCAACGACACCCAAATACACTTGCGAGCAGAGGTCTCGAGGCACGACGCCGATCGTTTCGTCGATTTTTGCACGAGGAACTCGATGAGACTCTTCGTACCCGATTTGAGATACTCGACTTTGAAACTGTTATTGACGAATCATAATAGTTACTCGAAAGTTTAATATCTCATAAACGATGCCTGAAATTATTAGTATGGTATATACGTTAGTTCTAGTTTCCTAATGCCACTGCGCAGAAGCTGATGAAAAAGTCAGTGTCGTAACTCGAGAACTCTCCTCTGCCAGCACGATCAATCATTCACGATCGAACCTCTGCGTCACGGTTGATAAACCTATCCGTTCCGCGTGGAAGCGAGCAAAGTGGACACCCGGAATTTCTTTCCAGATCACGATAATCCGGCGTGGTGGTGGCAGCCAAGCAGAAGCCTTCGATTTCTAATTTTTAGATGTACGGTGAGCGTCAAACATGAGTAAACACAGCGAGAAAGGCGGTAATTCGATCAAAGTTTCCAAATGCTTTCATCTTTTATCACAGAATATTTCGCGTAAATTGAAATGCAACCATGCTAGGAGAATTCTCGTCCATCTTTCGTTCAAGCGGAAGTGGGACTCGTTCACTCACGTTTGATATTTTCTGGCTGATTTAAATTCGAAATTAACATTGCCTTCGATGATATATGTATTTCAAACAATTCGTATTTGCATAATGATTGTCAGATATATATGTATATATACTTATATATAAGTATATATATATATATATAGCAATATATAAAGTATATAGGTTTACAGTACTGCATTTAATATGCATTGGATAATTTCAGTCTCGTGATTCTGAGGATAATTGCCATTGAATAATAGTACCGGATGTGTGCAGTATTTGCGTGCAGGGTATTTTTAAAATGGACCATTTTGCATTCCTCGTTTCGATTTGAAATATAATACTTGTTACACCATTTATTGTGACTTTCAAAGTCCATCTCTCTTTCATAAGACTCCACAGAATTTATATCTACCATGTATGCACGAATTTAACGAAGCCTCTAACAACAAATTAAAATTTTTCCCAGGGAAATTTTAAATTTGTAACAGTTGAAATATCTTCGCGAGTCACTGTACGTAATCGTTACCAATTATAACATACCCTGCACGTAATATGCGAGTCGTGACCAGAGTAATCGCTGAATCGCTGATTAGCTGTTATAATTTGCCTCTTGGTCCCGCTGCAATCCCTGTCCGCCTAGCGACCAGCCTACCACGCCGGACCAGACCGAGGCACTTACTCCTATTATTCGTATTTTGTTTGTCAACCTGTCACCAATATATATATATATATATATATATATATATATACTGCTCATGGAAAGATCGCTGCATGTCTATTTGGAACACCATCGTTCGAGGCGTGTGCGCAACTACGGGCGAACGAATCGCAATCCTTGCGTCAAGGTTGATAAGTCGACGATATTATAAAAGACAGAACGGACGCGGGACCTGTTTCCAGGTCACAATATGTCCGGCGTGGATGGTAACAGCACCGAGGGAGAGTCCGCGTGCGGACGTGGTCCCGCCCAGACCGGGCCAGGCTGTTATCGTAACTATGAGCATTACAGTCTCTCACGACATCGTCGAAGCGCCTCGTCCTGCTTCCCAAATTTGCCTAACGACCTACCGAACACCCCGGATAGTCCGAACCGCCGTCTGTTGGACTTCGCGCAGAGCGTACCTGGAACGCAAAACGACGATTACTTTCACGATGACGTACCGGCCCAGCACGTGAACCAAGGCAATACCACACCTAGCGTAAGTCCCTGTCGTGAGATCCGAACCATCGGTTATGTATGATTTCTCGATGTATTCGTTTCTGTCTGTACGCGCCTGGAGAACTAGGTATGCGCGGGCATCTGATGATCCTTTGACCCAGTCCTGTCCAAAGTTGCTCCTGGGAGCGAGAAAGCAGCTTTTTCTATTCCACGTTGTATTTGTTGAACAGTAGTACACGTACGCTATATATACGTATCGATGTAGCGTTACACATGTGGGCTTTTTTACGCGAGCCGCGTGTTGGGGCTCCTCCCGTGGACAGGACTGCTTTAACCAGATTGGGTTCGATTCTTCTCGAATTTAGTGAAAAGGTGTTTGCATCCTTTCCGTCATTTTTTTTTCTTTTTTATCATATACTTTTATCTTCGACCAAAAATTTAACGGTACTTCGATGAACTGAAAATCGGTATTAACGTGACGACGAGAACGATCCAACGAAAACTTTTATTCTTTCTGCACCGTTTCGACCCTGCAAAGCTTAGAATTTCTTGCTTAAAACAGTGTTTGCATATTGAAAGAAAAAAGTTGGAAAATCAGAGCTTCCTGTGCTCGACGAGGGTTAAAAAGTGTAATCGAAACGTTAGAGAAATAACGAAGCGTTCGTCGGATCGTTCTTGCCATCGGTTAATATTAGTTTTTCTCCCCGTTCGCATTCATTAATCATTTTATGGCGAAAACGTAACGACGGTGATTTTTATCATCTTTTCGGAACAGTTTGCGACTACTAATTTCGCATTACCGTAGTACGTACGATTACAGTAATTTGTCTCCAGTTAGGGGAACATGATCACCTCGACTTGCGTGTCAAAGTGTTTGGCATAAGCGCGTAGGAATCACTGTGCCATTGACCGCGCGACGGAACTGTTAGAATCTACTGAAACGTCTGACCCGCAGACGTCTAACCTACTTGCAACGACTCGCATGAAACGTTATTACAGGGAGAAATAAAGAACGGTATAGTATTAAGGGGAATGCGGTGCTGGGTGTAAGTATAACGTGAACGAACGTTGACTATAACGTCTGGTATAATACGAGTCTCGCGAAAGGTCTTATTTTCTCGGAAGAATATAAAGTAACAATTCTTGGTTACCAGTGTAACGATTAAATTGCTATTTATTACATACTTCAACATTTCATTTACAGTTTTTACGTGAAATAAATCTATACTGTTATACAGTATAAATGTATGTAATACAAATGTAATTGTAATCTATCAAGAGTCGATCACCCTCATGGGGAGTGGTGTGTAGTGATTTTATGTCGCGTGCAAGTAGGTTTAGAATGTTCGAGTCGTTCCACGTGAAACATAAATATGAGAGTCCTTATCGAGCTCTTAATTTGGAACGAATTTCTGTAACCGTGCGTAGACCGTCGCCCAAAAGTTTTAGGACAACTGCTATATTTCGTCAAAGAAATTCGAGCCCATCTGTACAGACGGAATCGTTCGTAAATTTCTGTATAGTATACGCACGTGGCTATTAGAGGCACGACTATCAGAGCACCATAGCGGTTACATTGGATGCAAACTAGTAGTAGAGTCTGATTTTGGTCAGACTCGCGAACAATCCGTAGGTATAACTGTCTCACGCGCGAAATGTACAGAGTGTCCCGACAACGGTGGTACATCCAAGATAGGAGTGATTCTACGTGAAAAGATAAATCGAAAATAAAGAATAGAACTTTTTCATTGGAGGCTTTGTCGTTGAGAAAATCCACGTTGAATATTCAACGAGTACACGCGCGATTGAATACGATTTGCCTGACGCGTCTGACCATTAATCATTGTTTCTACTTTCACGGAGGGCCAATTCCACTGCACGCGTGCTCCGTGAATATTCAAAGTTCATTTTCTCGACAACGGAGCCTCCAATGAAAAACTTTTGTTCTTCATTTTCGATTTGTTTTTTTATTCACCGATGCTGGGGACACTCTGTACAAGCAGGCATCTTCGTATAACTTGAACAAAATATACCAACGTTCCTCATAAGATGTGTTTTTTACGTAAAGCGCTTTGTAAGATTGACGCACAGTTTGTTGAGTAATAAAAATCTAACAATTCACGATCTATTTACCAGAGCAAAGATCCATCGTGTATTTAGTCACTTGTTCGTAATTTGTTTCGAGCATACTGAATGTTTATTCTGTCTCGGTATTTTTTCATTTATTTAGCAAAACCGATGCTTTTATCTTTGATGTAACATCTATACGAAGGAACGTGCATCCAATGATATCGTTCTTGTTTGGAATCTGTGTGAACGTGTTTATGTCGAATAGCCTCGGTACAAGTTTCATTTCACACACGACGTGCTGTGAGAACGAACTTGTAATGATAATTGAAATCATGCAGAATGACACGATGTACCCAAGCACGCCTAGTATGAACAGTCTTTCATTTATTTATTTTTTTTTTATATATACATATTATATATAGAAAGAAAGCACGTCGAGTATACCTCGTGATTTTGTCGAACGAATTTTACTATATCAAATATTAAATTTTTTAATTTCATTTCAACGTTGACGAAAGGAGTAATAAATTATCCGGTGATAGGTTTGAGCAATCACAGCGGCTCAAGTTAAAGCTGTTCGACGTTATCGATCAGATAGCAAAGTATGATTTAACGGAAGCATTTGTAAATGATATTTACTGCTGGACCGAGACGATTTGCTCGACGTGCAGCTTCTTATCTATGTGTGCCTGCTTGTTTTTATCGGGATACCAATAATCGATCGAATGGTATCCCGCGGTGTTGTGTGCAACTTTCTTTCGTGGCGGCGAAATTGTTGCCAGCACCCGAAACGTCGATCTGGCACGAAACGCGACCGAGTAAATATTTCTCAGGATCCGTTCCCCGATTCTGTCGGATAACTTTCTTCCTGCAAACTTTTTTGCCATCGGTTTCGCTGCGAAAATATTTGCTCGTCGCGACGCTGAAAGCATATATGCGAAAATATACGGAGCCGGGTCAACCATTGTATCCGACAAAATCATTTTTTTCACGCGTCTCTTCGCTAAAATTAAAAATTAAATTTTTTATTCGGAAACACCTTGCTCCGTATACTCGACGCATACAGTTTAACAGAGGTGGTGATTTTCTAGTGCAACATACTATTCTTCTTGGTACAAGTGCGTCTGTACCTACCAGTGCTGTCATAACTATTGCAAACGATAACGTGTTACAGTCTACTTAACTCACGCTGACGTAGAAAGTTAATGTTAGCTCGTTTGGATTCGATTAAAGACACGTTTTACGTCACTGTTGCGCAAGTTTCTCGTTTAAGTCTGCAAACTGCCTCGAGCTTGCGTCTCGCGAATCGTGTTAGGCTTGTTTTTCAATAAATTTTTCGGTAAAAATTGCAGCACTATCAGGTACAGATGCGTCCGAATAAAGGTTTGCGCAACATTTCGACTTGGAACGTTCCACACGGTCGCGTCACTTTATTTGCAAATATATTTTAACGATCGATTTACCGGTCTACACGATCCTGGGTACACGATTTATTTTAGCTCGCGAGTGAACCGACGATCTGCGGAGCCCGAAAGAACGACATTAATTTTCTTCAACGTTTGCTTCCTCCTTTACTCGCCCACGCTATTCGAATATTCTATATCCCCCCTAAACAATCGCATTATACCTTTAATTCGTCGAGTTCGTTTCGAACAAAATCACAATTATTATTCGGTATACAATATTGCCTCCTAATAGATTGCAAACATACATTGCTCGTGTAAACTATGCATTACAATTTTCTAGTTTATACAAATGTTCAAGTCTCGATGAATCAAAGATATCAGAGTCATTGTAAACACTGATCCTCTCATCGTAACATGATTGTTTAGACATCCATGACTCATTTCCCCCCTCTAGCCCTGTTAACGAGGAAAGAAGTTGATGCTTCGCTAGAAATCGAAGAGGCCTAAAGAGTAAAGAATTGTAAATTCGACCGTTCACGGCCATTTTCCTTTCCTAAATTTAATTATCGTTAACGTCACGCGATGGTCAGCATAGAATCGATAATCGGTGGTGGAAGTAGGATACAAGTATAAATAAATGAGAGGATTGAGAACGTCGATGGGATTAAAAGACAGTGAAGACATCGAGTAGATCGGAGGACCAAAATTTCGTGTCGTCCAAATGCTTTTTCGTCGCGAAACGCGCCGGGCTTAACGATTCGTCGACAGATTAACATAATTTTCACGACTGACAGTGTTTCTTTCGCACATTACTGCGGTCCTGGAATGCTCGCTTGTGATCAATGAATGTTCATTATTTTTTTTTTTCGTTTGTCATCGGTGGTACACGATTCACGGAAATGCAAAGTACGTGATATAGTACGTAATACGCATATTGCACTAAAATGATTCGAAGCGTCAGACCACTGTAATTTTTTGTGCCACTCTGCACACGTACACGCGCTGGAAATATAGACAAGTAGTGGTCGTTATGTTTCGTTCAATATTATTTATTCGTATCACACAGTGTTCGATGTTTGTTAATTTTTCTAACCACGTACAAATTGATTTGTCAATCATTCGTCGTTGGTTGCCGTCCAGATCTCGTTCGTGTTTCAGGAATATTTATTTAAATTTTCTTCTTCCTTGGTTTCTCGCACACACGATCAATACCCGTAACTTTGCGCACTCAGTGTTTTGTGGTTTTTTGTAAGAAGTTGCTGTCCAGATATTAACGCATAATTGATATCTATCAAATATTTTTAACGTAAATTCTGGTATGAAAATTTCAGCAACAGTTCCATTGCGTTAATTACGTTACTGGACGCAATTGAACGATAGGATTGTGATTTTAACCCTTTTCGTACGGTCGCCGTTAAGAAATCTTTCGCGAGGCCAATTTACGTCCAATTTGATTAATTTCTGCAACGTTGCATACGGTATTAGTGACCCTTCCACGGTGAAAAAGGCCGGAAATATTATTTACAGTCGCAGCTTCTACGCTTCTGGAAAATTCATTTTCCAG